TAAGCAAGTTCAGTTCATTTAGCGACCAATCAGTGGATGGGAAGCGAATTCAATTCCATTAAAGACAAAACTGTCGGTGGGCTTTGTGCCATCAGCCAGTGTTGGCGACGATGTGGTCCCTCCCTGTCCCTCCCTCCCACCACGCCCGCTCGCCCAGCCTCAATCACCGGGTGCTTCCCTCCACGCCCATTCTACGTTTCTCGCCTTCCTCTCCCCACGACCATTCTAGCTTCTCGCACATTCCTCGCTACGCCCATTCTTCGGCCTCTAGTCTGCAGAGAGTTTTGGCGAAACTAGAGGAACGCGATCAGCGGCTGCACTGATAGCTCTCCGCCGACGCTAACTCCGTGGCGTCCTCGTTATCAAGTCCGCGTCTCCGTCGAAGAAACGCGGAAGAATCCCTGCTGTCGGAGTAACGCCACAAGTTGTGGCGTTCTTGCACACCTCTGGTCGACGGCGACGGGACGATTCGAGGAGGTTCCTACCGAGCGAACTCGCCCAGAGAACTCGCCGAGGGAAACTCTCGCGGACGGAACTCTCGCGGAGGGAAACTCGCGGACTCGTGAACGTTCCGATTCGTCATGAGACGTTGACGATTCCTCGTCCCGCTTTCAGTCTTCCTCGGTGTCTTGATCGATCTCCCGTTTTCTTTCACGTTTGTTGTACGACCGGCCAGTTAGTAGCAGTGTTGCCCTGAATTATTGTTCCATTATTGTTTGCCTTCAACTCTTTCTCTTCCTTTTCTTTCGCCGACTTGCAGCTTCTTGCACGATCTGCAGCGAGGCGGCCCAGTCAAGCACGTCCCGTCGCAACGTGTCTCAAAATTCGCTTCATCGCATCCGTCGCGAGCGTCGCAGCCATCGCTGTGGCGGGCGTGCGTCCGGCTTCCCATGCCGTGGTAGAGAAGGATCGTTCTGCCGCTTTCAGTCGTCCCGCCTTCAGTTTTATGACCGTCCCGCGGCCGACGATCTTCCCATGAATCGCCCTGGTAAGTGATGGGATTTCGCTTCTGGGGGGGCCGAGTAGGCGTCCGCCGCGTAGCGTGTCACTGGTCCGTTTCCCGCTTTTTGAGTCACCTCTCGTTCTGCTACTAACACACACTCTCTTTCGTGCCTTGTGTTTCTCTTTGCGTGCGTGCGCATGTGACGGCGCGGGAATCTGCGAGTGGCGAGGCGACATAGGCGGCTGCTGCCTCGTCAATCCCGGGCGGAAACATCGACCGCGCGAGGAGACACCACTGACGAGCGGGGAGGGTGTTGACCCCGCTGCGCGCGCGCGCGCGCCTCTCCTCCTGACTCCAGCGGAGTTGCTTGGGTGAGTGGCGGGGACGCGCCAGAGGGGGGCGAGTAGGCGTCCGCCACAATAGCGCGTCGCTGGTCGGTTTCGTGCTGCTTTGAGTGGCTCATTCTCGCCCGGGCTAACGAACTCTGTTTCTCTTTCGTGCTTCTGCGTTCGTTCTGTTCGCCTGCGTGAGTGTAGTAACCACACTGTGTTGGCGCGCTTGTGCCTGGTGGTGTGGTGGAGAGCACAAACCAACCTCACCAACTCCGTGTGCGACCTTGCACGCTGTACGACCTGCTGGTGCGCTGCGCAACTTGGTGTGGTGTGCGACTGGTTGCGGTGTGCGACCTCCTTCGGTGTGCGACGGGAGGCGATGAGGTTTGGGGAACCAGCAGCGAGCGAACCAAGCTCAACAACTATTGGACAAGGTTAGTTTCGTTCGATGCTCGCGAAACTACTGTCGCCAACCAACTTCGCTGCCAACGAATTTCTTCGCCACCCGATGTTGTCGCCCTCACTTCGTCGCTCAAACCATTCCCCCTCGAATCAAGCACTCGCCATTCCTTGCTGCCGGCCTGCTGATTGCATTCCTTCAACCAGCGTTTCATGAGCCTCGTTATTGTCACACCTTAAAGCGTCGTTTCTTTTTTCTTTTTTCTTTTTTTTGCGATGGAATTTTCATTCAGATGTGTGCGACTGAGGCACCTGGCGGCGAGGATCTCAGCCGTAGCGTGCGTTCATCACATCGCGACCGTCCATCGCCAGCCGTCGAAAAGCGAGACGGTCGTCCGCGTGCGTGACGGTCTTCCGCGCGACGTCGAACGGCGAAATTATCGTTCGCGCATCGTCGCGCGCGGCGAGACGGTCGTCCACGTTTCGTCGCACCGCGAGATGGTCCTTCGCGCGACGTCGCATGGCGAGATCGTCCGCGTCGTCGCACGGCGAGATGGCCGTTCGCGCTTCATGGGCCCCGCCTCTGCCGCTTCCGTCCATCCTCGGCGTGGGGACTTGGAGGAGCCTGCATCCTCGGCGTGGGGAGTCTATTTTTGCGGGGCCTCAAAAATGGACTTGGAGGAGCTTGGGCTGCGCCTCTGCCCCTTGCCCCCAGCCTCTGCGGCTTCCGCCCGGTAAGCGCATGCTCCCAGCTGTAGGGGGGGCGAGTAGGTCACTGTCTAGGCCGCCGCCGCATGGTAAGTGCGTCTCCCTCCAGTCGCCTTCGTTTCTCGGCTCGAGTCGGTGTCTTTCCTCCTGCTCGCGCTAACAAGAGCTTCTGCGTGGTCGGTTATTCCCTGTCGCTTTGGGGGGTGAGGGGGAAATATCCCTCCACCCCTCCTCCTCCTCCCCTCCTCTTCCCCCTCTCCTCTGCAGTGAAGGCAAGAGCGGCAGCAGGGGCCGCTGGGGAAGCTGGGGCAGCTGGGGCAGCTGGGGCAGCAGGGGCAGCTGGGGCAGCTGGGGCAGCTGGGGCAGCAGGGGCAGCAGGGGCAGCTGGGGCAGCTGGGGCAGCTGGGGCAGCTGGGGCAGCTGGGGCAGCTGGGGCAGCAGGGGCAGCAGCGGCAGCAGGGGCAGCAGGGGCAGCGCATCCTGCTGCAAGGGAGAGTGTCTGGAGGGGGAGGGCGGGATGGTTGGGAGTTGGGATTTAAGGCGGAGCGGGAGGAGCTTCGGAGTGCGTCAGCTTCTGCTGGCTCGGCTTCTTGCTTCCGTCCAGCTAAGCACCCGTTACTCCCTCCCACCCGTTACTCCCTCCCACCCGTTACTCCCTCCCACCCGTTACTCCCTCCCACCCGTTACTCCCTCCCACCCGTTACTCCCTCCCACCTGCTATTCCTGTTTCTGCCATTCGTTTCAGCCCTTCAAATCGCGCCACTGGTAGCAGTGCAGTGAACAAGCCACAGACCCCCCCCCCCCCCCCCCCCCCTCCCCTCTGCAGGTGTTGCAGGTATACCCTTCAGGTCAAGCCGAGCCCCCCCTTGGGTCTGTGGCTTCTACCTGAGACTCTACCAGTGGCGCCCTCCCTTGCTCCTCTCCCTTGTTTGTACGTTGCTTGCTCGCACATCCCTCATCTACCTTCCACTCTCTCCTCTCCTCCACCTAACTTCCTCTCCCTCCCCTTCCCCCCGCCGTTCTCCCCTTCCCCCCTCCCTCCTCCCCCTTCCCCCTCCCCCCTTCCCCAGACAGGGCCTGTGCTGGCGGATCTGCAAGCGCCTGTGCAGTGGCTGCTGTGACTGCAGGGGGAGGGGAGGGAAGGGGTGTGGAGTGGGGGGTGTGAAGCGCTTGTGTGGGGGGAAGCAGAGAGGGCTAAGGGGTTGCCAGCTGGCAGCACACAACACAAGCAGCCGCCACAGCTAAGTACCCACTCCACGCTCCTTCTTGCACGTTTTGACTGCTTTCACTTGCTTTTGATTTGCCTTTGTGAGACACTCTGACTCGCCCGCACACACTTCGTCTGCACACATGCCCACATACACACACACCAGTCCATGCATCCATGCTTCTTGCCTCCTCTCTTAAAGCGAACCACTTGCAGCAGCCTAGGTCACGTGGTGGTGCAGACCCATACTCCAGGTGCCCCCCCCGCCCACTAGGGTTTAGCCTTCCTCTATCCTTTTACGACTTATACCCCCCCACCCCCCCTACCCCCTGGGTCTGCACCATGTGCCTAGTGCTGGTAAGTGGTCCCTCTACTGCGATTACCTGAAAACCCACCCTACCCCACCCATGCCCACCTCTCACGCCTCTACCTCTAGCCGCTTACTCACTGCTCTACAGTTTTCCCCTGCTGGTTGAGGGAAGGGGCGTGGGGGTCAACACCTCCACTCCCCCACACCCCTCCCCTTGTGGCCGTGCAGGTGCCTCTGCTGGGTGGGGAGGGGGGTGGCAGCACTCTACTGGGTGAGGGGGCAGCGCTCCACACAGCAGCAAGGGAGAGTATTGGGGTTGGGCGGGCCACTCAAGGTGAGCAGTTCATCTGCTCTTCTGCAATTGATTCGCTTCTTTCCTTTTTTTCCAGTCTGACTCACCTCTACTCCTCCTCTCTGCCTGTGCAGGTGTCTCTGGTGGGTGAGTGGGTGGGGGGCGCAGCACCCTACTCGGCTGCAACTGACAAGGGAGAGTATCGGGGTTGGGCCAGCCACTCAAGGTGAGCACTCAAGGTCTTTTTGCATCTTTCCAGTGCTGTTTGTATTGCCCACTGTGACTCACACCGACTCCTCTCTGCCTGCGCAGGTGCCTCTGGTGGGTGGGGAGGAAAGGGAGAGGGGGCAGCACTCCACTCAGCTGTAACGGGAGAGTATCGGGGCTGGGTCGGCTTAAGAAGGTGAGCACTTCATTTTTTGTTTCTGCTTTTTTCTAGTTTTTTTTTGTTTTGCCCACTGTGACTCACCTCTCCTCCTCCTCTCTGCCTGTGCAGGTGCCTCTGGTGGGCGGGGAGAGGAGGGGAGAGGGTGGGGCAGCACTCCACTCGGTAATGGGAGGCTGGGCTGGGGAGGGTGCCAGCTGGGAGCACACAAGCAGCCACAGCAGTTGTGTACACACCCCACACACACTCTCTCTCTCCCTCGCATTTTGGCTGCTTTCACTCCCATACTTTGACTTTGTGATGCAACATTGTCACATTCACTCACACACACACTCACTTGCATCCGCACCTCATCACTCCATCCATGCTGCCCGCCCTTCCCCCTAAAACCGAACCACTCGCAGCAGCCTAGGTCACATGGTGCAGACCCCCTATTCCAGGTGCCCCCCCCCCCTAAGGTCAAGCCTACCTATATACTATTAAGACTTTCTACGTATCCCCCCCCGGGTCTGCCCGGTGTGCCTAGTGCTGCTTCAATGGTCCCTCTGCTGCTATCACCTGCCACCCCACCCCACCCCACCCATGCACACCTCCCAATCTTCAATCCTTCATAGCTTACTCACTGCTCCACAGTTTCCTGCTTGCCTGCTGAGGGGAGGGACGTGGGGGTCAACACCGCCACTCCCCCACACCCCTCCCCTTGTGGCCGTGCAGGTGCCTCAGGTGGGTGGGGAGGGAAGCTGGGAGAAGCGCTGCCATGAGGGAGAGTATCTGGGGTGGGGTTGGCCTCTCAAGGTAAGCCCCTTGTCTCCAACCCCTCTTGCTGCTGCAGTCTCTCCGCCCCCTCTTCCTTCACCGCCTTTCCGGTTCGTACTTGTTTGATTTGCAGTCTCCGTTTCCTTCACTGCCTGTCTTTCTGGTTCTTTGTTGAAAGTCCTGCACTGCACCTAGCTTCGTTCTGACTGCCTCCCTTTTCTGCCCGCCCCCAACAGGTGACCAAGCATCATTTAAAGACTGCAGCATAGGAGTCTAGTTTTGAGGCGCCTCAAAACTTGTGCACCTAGCTTCGTTCTGTCTGCCTCCCTTTTCTGCCTGCCCCCAACAGGTGACCAAGCATCACTTGAAGACTGCAGCAGAGGCAGCTGAGCAGCAGACAGCAGCACCAGAAGCAGCAGCACCAGAAGCAGCAGCAGCAGCAGCAGAAGCAGAAGCAGCAGTTGGGGGTGGGCGGTTAGAGGGCAGGCTAGGATTAGGAGTGAGAGAGCGAGGTATGGTATCAGGTACAGGTATGGTCGTCTCACCCCCTCTGCTTCTTTCCTTCCTACAGCATGTGGATCTGGGGGGCCTTGGAGCAATGGCAGGAGCTTGGGGCGAGGGCAGGAGAATGGAGCCCACCCCCTCTCTCACCTCCTCTTCTTCCCCCCCCTTCCCTTCCCTCCAGCAGCATCACGCCTTGAGGAACGGGAGGTGCAGTCCCCACCCTCACCTCCCCTCCCCCCTTTGTAGCAGGTTGCGGCATCGTGGGCTCCATTCGGCTATGGTAGGTGGAGGTAAGGAGAAGGGCCCGGGTGGTGGGAGGCAGGGGAGGGGTGGGTGGGGGGGGGGGAAGCATAGGAGCAAGCATGCAGCTCACTCCCTTAGGGGCAGCACCCTCTGTGGTTCCTGCCTTGTCGGTCGGGTGTGGTCAGTGGAAAGTGTGTGGCACGGCAGTCGTTCCTCAAGTAACAACACTAGTGGCGTATCGTATAATGGAACCGGTCAGAGCCATGCGCGCCGGCTCTGGTTGGGAGTCCCCTCCTACGACGCTGAATGTGGCGGGATTTGAGTCTTGGGCCGCCCGTGCATTTTCCACTGCCATACTTTGACCACAAGGCACAACCATGGGGGATGCTGTTTCCGAAGGGGAGTGGGTTGCATGCTGCTCCTAGTGCTGGGAGGGGGGAAGTGGGGAGGGGGGTTGGGGTTGGGTGGTAAACTGGGATGGTGGTGGTGGTCAAAGGGGGCCTGAAACTCCCTTGATGAGTTGATCGGTCGGTGAAGGAGGGCTTCTCAACCTACACTGTAAGTTGAGCGAGGGGGAGCAGAGGAGCAAAGGAGGGCGTCTGCGACTGCCACTGTAAGTTGAGTGAGAGGGGGAGGTGGGGGCTGAAACCAGCAGAGTAAGTTTAGTGAGGGGGAGAGGAGGGGCAAAGGAGGGCGTCTGCGACTGCCACTGTAAGTTGAGTGAGAGGGGGAGGTGGGGGCTGAAACCAGCACTGTAAGTTGAGTGAGGGGGAGAGGCGAACAGGGGCGTGAAGCCCCTTGGGTGAGTTGATTGATCGGAAAGGAGAGCGACTGCAAAGCTCTCTGTAAGTTGAGTTGGGGGGAGAGGAGGGGGCTGAATCCAGCAGCGCCAGTCAAAGGAGGGGCACAGGAGGGCGTCTGCACTGCAGTCACCACTGTAAGTTGGGTTAGAGGGAGAGGGGAAAGGGGGCCTGAACCCCCCTGTGTACGTTGAGTGAGAGGGGCTGAATCCAGCAGCGCCAGTCAAAGGAGGGGCACAGGAGGGCGTCTGCACTGCAGTCACCACTGTAAGTTGAGTGAGAAGGCGAGGAGCAAGGGGTGCTAAAATCCCCTGGGTAGGTTGAGTGCTAAGGGAGCGGAGCAAGAGGCCTGAAACCACGGGCTGAACTGAGTTGAGTTGAGTGAGAGGGATCCGAGAGGGGTCCCTGAAATCCCCTGGGTAAGTTGAGTGCAAGGGAGCGGAGTGGAGCAAGGGGGGCGGAAACCCCCGGGGTGAGTTGAGTGAGTGGAAGAGAAGAGAGGGGGGCTGAAATCCCTGCGGTGAGAAGATCGGCCTGCGCACAGGGCAGGACAGCAAATGATGATGCTGCATGGGGTGCCTGATGCCGTCCTGCCCCTGTGCTAGTCCAGTGATATGCGCTCCCTGAGGTTCCAAGGGTAAGGTGAGTGAGGGGTAGTGAGGGGTAGTGAGGGGTAGTGAGGGGTAGTGAGGGGTTTGTGCAGAGCAACCACCGGGGTAAGTTGGTTGAGGGGCAAAAAACAGGGTCTGCAAGCACCAAGGGGAGTTGAGTTAGAGGGAGCAGAAAAACGGGCCTGAAACCCCTGAGGACGGTGCAGTGAGAGAAAGGGGTCCCCAAACTCTCAGGGCAACTCTCAGAGTAACTGAATGGTCGAGGAGGAGGTTGCTTGCAACCCCCGTTGCTTGCAACCCCCGTTGCTTGCAACCCCCTAGGAGGTTCATTGAGGCGCAACGGAAGGAGCTGCAACCACCGGGGTAAGGTGAGTGCTGAGAGGGGGCCTGAAGCCCCCAGGGTAAGTTGAGTGTGAGGGAGTGTTGATAGGGGGTCTGGAGCCCCCAGTATTTAAGGGGCTGAAATCCCTGCTGTAATGTGAGTGAGGGTGATTGTGGGGGTTGGAGGGGGGGGGGGTTGTGTATTCGAAGGAACACAGGAGCAAGGGAGGGGAGGGGGGCTGGATTTCTCAGGGTAAGGCTAGCGAGAGGCAGGGGGGGGAAGGGGGGTTTAAACCCACAGGCTAAGGCGAGCTAGGGGCAGGGGAACCCCCCCTCCTCTGCCTTTGGTTCGCCTTAACCTGGGGGTTTCAACCCCCCTCTCTTGCCTCTCAATCGCCTTACCCCAGGAGTTTCAGCCCTCCTCCCATTTCTTACCCTTGTGTTGCCGTGGAGCCTCCACCCCCCTTCTCTGCTCCCCTCTCTCTCCTTACTTCGTCCTCTGCCCCTACCTTTCCCCAGTGGGGTTATTATCCCTCCGGCTTTGTCCTGGGGGGTGTAACCCCCTTAAGCCAATGTGAGCTGAAACCTCAAGGGCTTCGTGAGTGGGTGGAAGAGAAAGGGGGCTGAAGAGAAAGGGTGAGCGGAAGAGAAGAGGGCTGGATGTCCTCAGGTGCGTGAGAGAAAGGGGAGGGTTGAGCCTGGAGCGCCACATGATAGGCAGCAAATGATGATGCCCCACGTGTTGCTTGATGCCCCACGTGTTGCTTGATGCCCCACGTGTTGCTTGATGCCCCACGTGTTGCTTGATGCCCTATCATGTGGCCTCGTCGGTCCAACCCTCTCCAAAGTGTAGAAAGGGGGCTTGAAACCTCAGGCTCAGGGTAAGTTCAGCGATTGGGGCAGGATAAATGGGGCGTGGAATCTCCAGACTAAGTGGAGTGCGGGGAGCGGAGGGGGACTGCAGCAACCACGAGGAGGGAGAGAAGGAGAGGCTTGAAACCCCTGGGGTATTTCGAATGAGGGGCAGTGGGGGGACTGCAGCAACCACGAGGCTGAGTTCATCCAGAGGGAGCGGTAGGAGGGAGGAGGGAAGGGGGCCTGAAACCCCAGGGTGTGGTGAGTGAGAGCGAAGAGAAAGGGGGCTTGAAAACCATGGGGTATTTCCAACTTGGGGCAGTTGGGGGGGGGAGAGGGCCTACAGCAACTGGAAGGGTAAGGAAGTTGAGGGACAAAGACCGGGGGCTGCAAAGACCACTGTAAGTTGAGTTAGAGGTGAAAGAGGGCCTGAAACTCCCCAGGTATAGTGAGTGAGGGGCAATGGAGGGGGGCTGCTGCAACTGCGAGGGTAACTTAGCTGAGGGCAAAGACCGGGGGCTGCAACCACCACTGTAAGTTAGAGGGGGCGGATAGAGGGAGCGGATAGAGGGAGCAGATTGAGGGGGCCTGAAACCCCCGGAGTATGTTGAGGGTTTTAGGGAGGAGAGAGGTGGCCTGAAACCCCCGAGTTACTCGGCCATGAGGCGGGTTGCTTGGCCATGAGGCGAGTTTCTCGGCCATGAGGCGAGCTACTCGGCCATGAGGCGAGTTACTCGGCCATGAGACGATTTTCTCTGCCATGAGGCGAGCTACTCGGCCATGAGGCGAGCTACTCGGCCATGAGGCGAGTTGCTCGACCATGAGGCGAGTTGTTCGGCCATGGGGTCAGTAGCTTGGCCATGGGGTCAGTAGCTGGGCCATGGGGTCAGTAGCTGGGCCATGGGGTCAGTAGCTTGGCCATGGGGTCAGTAGCTGGGCCATGGGGTCAGTAGCTTGGCCATGGGTCAGTAGCTTGGCCATGGGGTCAGTAGCTGGGCCATGGGGTCAGTAGCTTGGCCATGGGGTCAGTAGCTGGGCCATGGGGTCAGTAGCATGGCTATGGGGTCAGTAGCTGGGCCATGGGGTCAGTAGCTTGGCCATGGGGTCAGTAGCTTGGCCATGGGGTCAGTAGCTGGGCCATGGGGTCAGTAGCTTGGCCATGGGGTCAGTAGCTGGGCCATTGGGTCAGTAGCTTGGCCATGGGGTCAGTAGCTGGGCCATGGGGTCAGTAGCTTGGCCATGGGGTCAGTAGCTGGGCCATGGGGTCAGTAGCTTGGCCATGGGGTCAGTAGCTTGGCCATGGGGTCAGTAGCTGGGCCATGGGATCAGTAGCTTGGCCATGGGGTCAGTAGCTTGGCCATGGGGTCAGTAGCTGGGCCATGGGGTCAGTAGCTTGGCCATGGGGTCAGTAGCTTGGCCATGGGGTCAGTAGCTTGGCCATGGGGTCAGTAGCTGGGCCATGGGATCAGTAGCTTGGCCATGGGGTCAGTAGCTGGGCCATGGGGTCAGTAGCTTGGCCATGGGGTCAGTAGCTTGGCCATGGGGTCAGTAGCTTGGCCATGGGGTCAGTAGCTGGGCCATGGGGTCAGTAGCTTGGCCATGGGATCAGTAGCTTGGCCATGGGGTCAGTAGCTGGGCCATTGGGTCAGTAGCTTGGCCATGGGGTCAGTAGCTGGGCCATGGGGTCAGTAGCTTGGCCATGGGGTCAGTAGCTTGGCCATGGGGTCAGTAGCTTGGCCATGGGGTCAGTAGCTGGGCCATGGGGTCAGTAGCTTGGCCATGGGGTCAGTAGCTTGGCCATGGGGTCAGTAGCTGGGCCATGGGGTCAGTAGCTTGGCCATGGGGTCAGTAGCTTGGCCAAGGTACAAGGTGAGGCAAGGGAGGGGGTTTCAGACCTCAAGTAACAAGCTGAGGGAAGGGAGGGGGTCTGAGACCCCAAGTTGAACGGTGAGGCAAGGGAGGGGGTTTCAGACTTCAAATTAGAAGGTGAGAGAAAGGAGGGGGTCTGAGACCCCAAGGAAAATGGTGAGGCAAGGGAGGGGGTCTGAGACCCCGTGTAAGACGGTGAGGCAAGGGAGGGGGTTTCATACCTCAAGTAAAACGGTGAGCCAAGGGAGGGGGTTTCAGACCTCAAGTGAAACGGTGAGGCAAGGGAGGGGGTTTTTACCCCAGGTAAAACGGTGAGGCAATGGAGGGGATTTTTACCCCAAGTAAAACGGTGAGGCAAGGGAGGGGTTTTCAGACCTCAAGTAACAAGGTGAGGGAAGGGAGGCTGTCTGACACCCCAAGTTGAAAGGTGAGGCAAGGGAGGGGGTCTGAGAACCCAAGTAAAAAGGTGAGGCAAGGGAAGGGGTTTCAGACCCAAGTAACAACGTGAGGCAAGGGAGGGGGTCTGAGTCCCCAAGTAAAAAGGTGAGGCTAGGGAGGGGGTCTGAGACCCCAAGTACAAGGTGAGGCAAGGAGAGGGGGATTCAGAGCGCATGGTGGTGAGGCGATGCAGGTGGTGGTGCGACCCTGGGATGTCCGATCTGTTGGGGTGGTGGTGATGGCATGGGCACATGCTGCTGGTGCTGCATGTGTGTGGTGTGGGGGCAAGGGCCAAACCATGATGCTGCATGTGTGTGGTGTGGGGGCACGGGCCAAACCATGATGCTGCATGTGTGTGGTGTGTGGGTACGGGCCAAACCATGATGCTGCATGTGTGGTGTGTGGGGGCACGGGCCAAACCATGATGCTGCATGTGTGTGGTGTGGGAGCAAGGGCCAAACCATGATGCTGCATGTGTGTGGTGTGGGGGCACGGGCCAAACCATGATGCTGCATGTGTGTGGTGTGGGGGCACGGGCCAAACCATGATGCTACATGTGTGTGGTGTGCAAGCACGGGCCAAACCATGATGCTGCATGGAGTGCCGGGTGTTCCCCTTGCTGTCATGGTCTGCACGGAACAATTGTTTATGCGTTACACGATAATTAGGGTGTATATTTTGTTCATGAATTGTTGGCAGAGGCTCCTCTGCCTAACATCCGCAAACAAATTGATCAGTTAGCACATCGTATGCCTTTGTCTTTGTCAAGTTCTGCTTCTTACATTACCAACCAATCCAATAATTTCTGGCATGAATATGCCTGACAATAGAGCAACTTCAGTTTCACTGTCACACCCTCAAATGTGTTGTGATAAAATCGTTTTCAAATTCTTTCAAAATGGAGGGTTGTTTTCGAGCTTGTACCAGGGGAGCGGGCCTTCAAATAATCTGGTGTGCTAACAAAAAATGAGCCGTGTCTTCTGCCTAACATCCTTGCCCTGAGTGGGTTGGATCATCAATGGCGGCAGCGGCTCCGAACGACAGTGGGAACAAGATCCACCACCACCTGCAAACACAGAACAGGCTGCGTCAGATTCTAGGGATAACTACCACAGGTGACCAACGAAGGGCTGGTAAAACTGCCTTGTAGCACAGGTAGCTTTGCATAACTGAATTTTAAAAACACCAATGAGCTTAGGAGCTCAGCTAGTCTCTAGGGTAAGACTCACCCGACCATCATAGGAGAGGGAGGCAAACACCCAGGGGTCTATGGCACTCCACGTGATGCCTGGTGGGGGAGGGTCCACAATAGGTCCATGAAAGTCGATGGGCGTGAGGGAGGGATTCCACACCACAAGCAGGGCCATAAAATAAACAACAAAAAAAAACCACAACCATGCCAGGCTGCCTGCCGGTTCTCAGGGAATCTTGAAACACTCACCATAGACGCTGTCCTCGTAGTCTGTGAAGCTGACTGCCAGCTCATCCAAGGGGCCCCTGGGAGACCCCCCTGCTGCTGCCACTGCTGCTGCTCTTCCCGAGCCTGCCGGGTTAGGTATGGAGCGCAGGTGGTCGGCCAAGGCTGCTGCCGAGGCAGAAGGCACGTGCCACAGGTTGACTGCTGAGTCGGTGCCGCTGCTCTGAAGGATGAAGGGGAAAAAATGGGAAGTTTAGCAATAGCTGGAAAAGCTCCAGGAAGCAAGGATGCGAATCATGCTTACTACCTGCTCTCACCAATGCGTACTGGGAGCGTGGCAAAGCTGGGATTGCAAATAACGTGGCAAAGACGGAAGCGACAATGGGTGGTGGGAGAATGGCACTGACCAGCAGGAGCTCATCGTAGAATCGGTTGTAGCGCACACTGCACGTCCTGCAGTGATACCAGGGAAAACGGAAAGCACACGGACGCGACATGATGAAGCAAACACACAGACGACTTTGGAGAGAGTAGAACGAAAGGAAGGAAAAAGAACACAGGCAGGCGAGACACGCGCAATACCATGCATTTCCGGGGTACTCAAGCACAAAAATCCATCAGAATTCATCCATACCAGCGGGAGTAGTCCGTACCAATGGGTGTGAGCGATGTGATTCCTACCAGTGGGAGTGGCCCGGCAGCTCCACAATAGCTTGCTTGGTGGACCGCAGATCCCACAGGCGAAGGCGGGAGTCGTCCCCAGCTGATGTGGTTTACCTACCTACCGTGCACCGAGGCATAACCAAGGTAAAGCTAGCAGGTATGGTCCGTACCAGTGGGAGTGGCCTGGCAGCTCCACGATAGCTTGCTTGGTGGACCGCAGATCCCACAGGCGAATGCGCGAGTCATCCCCAGCTGACGCCAGGATGTGCGGGTGGTTGGGGTTGAAATCGATGTCTCGGATCTGCAGGTGGTGCGCGCCCTCTATGCTCGCTGTCTTGCTGCAAAAAAGAAGAGATAAATGCGGGCATAGGGAGCACATGCACAGGAAGCAAAAAGGAGCGATATATAAGGAGCCTTTTCGAATTTGCAGGTGGTGCACATCGTCTATGCTCTCTGTTTTGCTGGAGTTGGAGTGGAGACAAGAATCAACATGGTCAAAAGAAGAGGCAATGCCATCCATCCATGTGAAGCTTGCTCGGATTGACAAAATTCCGTGTCAGCTGCAGGTGATGCGGCCACCTTATGCTTGTTGTCTTGCCATCATAAATAATCAGCTCAGCACCCACGAGCCCATCCTGAATCTGCAACCATGGGGCTGTATTGATCTGCAGCCATGGGACTTCATGCGCCTTTACTGAATTTGCAGCTATGGGCCTTAGTCAAATCTGCAGCCATGGGGCTTGATAGGATTTCCAGCCATGGGGCTTTATTGAATCTGCAGCCACGGGGCTTTATTGAATCTGCAGCCACGGGGCTTTATTGAATCTGCAGCCACGGGGCTTTATTGAATCTGCAGCCACGGGGCTTTTTGAATCTGCAGCCACGGGGCTTTATTGAATCTGCAGCCACGGGGCCTTACTGAATCTGCAGCCACGGGGCTTTACTGAATCTGCAGCCATGGGGCGGGGCCTCACTATATTCACAGCCATGGCTCTTGTTTGAATACGCCGATATGGGCCTCGATTGAATCTGCATCCATGGGGTTTGATCCAATCTGCAGTCATGGAGGTAAGACATTCACTTACATGGCGGCTCTGAGGTCCCAGCAGGCAATGGAAGTGTCGGCAGTGGTGGCAACAGTATCGGCATTGTGTGGATCCCATGCTCCCGTGTGCAGCCTCTGCAGCCCGCTACCAGTCACTCGCTGCTTCGCCTGGTGATGATGGGAAAAGAATGACGAGAGACAAATGGAGAGAGGGTTAAATTGAAAAGTTATGGAATCGACTGGAGTGTCTCGCTCTCTCTGATTCACCTGGGGAGCACACAGGAGAGGGCGAGAGAGATGAGAGAGTTGAAGAATCGTTCGAGTGGACTCAAGCTAAAGCGTGTCGCTCACTGTAGGCAAATTTCCAAATTAATGCTGCAAAATTTTTGCCAGCTGCGGCGTACCGTGGCAAATTGTGCTGCTCGAGTGCTGGAGGCGAGATCCCAGGCGCAGATGACCTCCTCGTCAATGGTTATCACTCTGTGTAATGCCACGTCCCCTCCATACCATAGCACTCTGTGTGGAACAAAAAGGGTGTAATTTCAATACAACAAACTTCAATGAAACGGTGCAAAATAGGTACACGTGACGAGCAAAGGATAATGATATAGTAACATGAGACTGCAGACGAGGGTTGATAAAAAAAGTACGTACTTCTTCACAGGAGCCTCGAGTCCCTTGAGCTCTGCAGCCAGTTGCAAGGAGGGAGCGCCAGTGCCATGTGAGAAAGCCTTGTCAGGTATCCGCCAGATGGCAGCGTGGTATTCGCCGGCAGATGCGTAGACGGTGGAGAGCAGCGCAGAGTCGAAGGGACACGTGGCAAGGTCCCAGATCTCGTGCTGGTGAAGGTAGAGCCCCTCGCAGGTCACCTCTGATCCGTCGTCCGCCAGTTGGATGAGATGCACCTGGAGGAGGAGGAGGAGGAGGAGGAGGAGGAGGAGGAGGAGGAGGAGGAGGAGGAGGAGGAGGAGGAGGAGTGGTGATTCAACCCATTCTTTCAGGTGAGGTGACATGAGCAAGGGCGGATATGACCTAAGAAACCTCCCAGTCCGGAGGTAAAGCCCCTCGCAGGTGACTTCTGAACCATCGTCCGCGAGTTGGATGAGATGCACGTGGAGGAAAGAAGAAGATGGGGTACATGATGCACGTGGAGGAAAGAAGAAGATGGGGTACATGATGCACGTGGAGGAAAGAAGAAGATGGGGTACATGATGCACGTGGAGGAAAGAAGAAGATGGGGTACATGATGCACGTGGAGGAAAGAAGAAGATGGGGTACATGATGCACGTGGAGGAAAGAAGAAGATGGGGTACATGATGCACGTGGAGGAAAGAAGAAGATGGGGTACATGATGCACGTGGAGGAAAGAAGAAGATGGGGTACATGATGCACGTGGAGGAAAGAAGAAGATGGGGTACATGATGCACGTGGAGGAAAGAAGAAGATGGGGTACATGATGCACGTGGAGGAAAGAAGAAGATGGGGTACATGATGCACGTGGAGGAAAGAAGAAGATGGGGTACATGATGCACGTGGAGGAAAGAAGAAGATGGGGTACATGATGCACGTGGAGGAAAGAAGAAGATGGGGTACATGATGCACGTGGAGGAAAGAAGAAGATGGGGTACATGATGCACGTGGAGGAAAGAAGAAGATGGGGTACATGATGCACGTGGAAGAAAGAAGAAGATGGGGTACATGATGCACGTGGAGGAAAGAAGAAGATGGGGTACATGATGCACGTGGAGGAAAGAAGAAGATGGGGTACATGACGCACAGGACAACAACAATCGGAGTCGTCATCATCCGATTCGGCCGTCTGATTCTATTTCGCCATTTCCAGCTCATCTTCAAGACAGCGTCGCGCCTAATCCCGTCGTCGCCTCGCCATCTCGTTCAATCAAACTGCCTCCTCCTCGTCCTCACCTCCTCGTCCTCACCGCCTCGTCCTCACCTCATTCTCCTCTCGCAGGCTCAGCGTCCCGACCAGGAATCGCGTGTGGTGCTTCTCGCCGGCTTGCGCCGCGATGCATCTCGCCTGGAACTTAACTCCGTACGTCCGACTCGTTCCCCCGCCGAACATTGACACGGCTAACTACTGCCAAACTCTTGTCGCAATAACACGCCGTTTCAGTGCACTTCGGCCCAGGGTTCAAAGGGCGAGGGCTTGAATCCAGAAAGTGTCAAGAGCAGGATGCGACCACAAGTCGAGATGCGGTGGTGATGTTCCGCTGAATCTAGGGAACCTAGGGAGCTACGAACCTAGGCGCCTAGTGTGCTGGCTGGAGGAACAAGCCTGGGGAATTCCGAGCTTTCAGTGGCGTGCTGCTGTTCTGTTTTGAGAAATGCTGTGGCTCGTGCTGAAATTGGGAATTGTATTCACGTCTGAAGATGTGTTAGTGGTGGTGACATTTGTTGTATTCACGAGGCTGGTTAGTTTTTTCACACAAAAAATGTACAACACTGAGGTGTTGTGCTCCGATGTATCGCATCCAGCTCTTATCGAATAGTTAAGGTTGGTTGTTTGGTTGGTTGCCCTCTCGCTTCATATATTACATGCTCGTCCTCCCTACTTCTCTGTCTCACTGCCAACGCCTTCTCTCGCCGCCGCATCCTAGTAGCAAAGCCCCAAACCTTCCTAGATCCTGCATCCCCCTCCATATTCGTTTTCCAGCGTAACGCGGGACACTCTAACCCCTTGTTTTTCCATTACGGCGTCCGTTCCATGCTTGTCGTTTGCCTTCACACCGCCGATGCTAACCCTCACCCCCACTGCTAACTACGAGGCTTCGTTTTCTGTTGTGTGTTTTCTGGCTTCTGTTCCGAAGGGGCTCAACACAGTCTTCGCACCAAAGAATTGGTGGTAAGCCACTGAAACCCTCTTTCATGACTACTTCCTCGTTCCAAATGGCGCTCACGGTGATGAAGATGCATGTGAAAGAGGCCTTTCATGGCCGATGCGTACTTTTCCAAAACCTTTAAGAAGTCCTGAGTGAGCCTAAATTAGATTAGATTATTGTGTGTGTATGGGCATTCCTGCCACGGGAATATGGCTCTTTCGGTCTGTTTCTCCTGTCCAAGGATTGCCAACAGTGAGCTTTTCAGCCAACTGATAGGAAGCTCTTAATGCATTTTCCGTTGCTTGAGAGTGCCATTTTTTGGCGATTACATTTGAATCCCTAGACGGATTGTTGCCTCGTTGTGTGCTCATCTGACCTTGCTATCCTTTTCTACTGATGTATTTCTATCTGCTTGCCCATGTGGGACTCACGTGAACGTTACTTACATTTCCTGTTGCACCTCTTTGGCTGCAGGCTGGTGCTTGGAAGGTCTTTCGTTCATGTGAAGTATTTGTTGAAGGTTGTTCGAAGAACTTGCATGTTTTACATCTCTTCGCTTCATTGAAGGATTTCTATCAAAATGTTCCTGTGTTTTAGACATTGGTATCCGTGGAATTCTATTATGCAATATAATCGGTTGACCTTGCTTTGCTTAGACGCTATTTAGAAACCATGCTCCATTGAAACTCGACGTACGTAAAAGTACCACAAAATTATGCGTACACCATTACAGCTTCTATAGGATATTTCTGGCACGTTTGGTAGAGCTGGAGTGGAATTTCTCTCGGAGCAGAGGGGAAAGCAAGATGCAATGCAACCCACCAAGCCAGGGAATTGTGCGTGAAGAGGTAATTTTACCTTCTGGGCTTGGATCACTCGTTAGAAGCACAGTTGTTCCTGACATGATCATCTGCATACTGAATCTGGTCGCCCGCATACCTCGCCTCATACGTCAGTACCAGCAGGATCCTGTTCGTACTTACGGCCGGCTGTCCCTATCCGCTCGGTCTTACGTTGGGTTGGCCCTCTGACGGCGAATTCGTCCGAATCTCACACTTCGTGTTTCTTTCGCCAGTGCCGATAATCGATCTCCAAATGCTGATCGACTTGTGTAGTCACGACACGGGTATTTTCCACTTCAGTGATTGACAGACTCAAGTGCCGGCTAACCGTATTGCGTGTCCGGAGGATGACCTAGAAAGTGCCGTTTTGAGGTTATTGGGGATATTGGAGTTGTTGAAGGAACGACTCGCGCTCACGAATCTTGGTCCTTTCATTCTTTCGATTCAAACCTACATGTCACAGCCATTTTAGTGCAAACGCCGGCTTAGTACCTTTCTAGGTATCCGAATCCTCAGGGACTCTCAAGGGCTGCGAGATACGCGCACTAAGTTTCACGCGTCGCTCTGCCGAGGCGATCGACCTATGCTGGATGTGATACAAACGAGAGCTTAGTAGTTCCTTAGGCTGGAGCCACTTGCGGACCTCGAGTAGGCTGCGGCTCGAAGCTAACATGCGATGCGGGGGACCTCTAAACCACCCCCGGCATTCCTGCTGCGGGCAGAAAGATCGCACGAACCTTCCCACCCGCCGTTGTTACAGTCACGTTCGAATAATTCAGTCAGGATGGGCTCCATCCGCGTTAGTAGTTGTCCTCTTAGCGAGCGTTCTTCTAGCGGGACGTGCAGTGAAGGGTCAAGGGGAGGAGGCGATGATGCCTGGCGAGGAGCGGTACCAGTGCAGCAAGGACAGCCAGTGGGTGGGATTCGTGGCGGATTTGAGCATGCTGCAGCATCAGCTTCGGGGAACTGTCGAGATCCTAGACGATTGCTCGTTCAAGGCAAGTAACTGTGTACGGACGCTGGAGTTGAAGGGCTTGGCAATGTGCCTCTGAGGCTTGGTAACGCGTCTCGCTGGCCTGACCATGCACCGTTGATTCTTGCGTCTGTCGTTTTTGTCACAATTCGGGGGGTTCTGGACCTTTTTCTCGCTGCTGGCTGTGCTGAGTCCGTCAACTCTTCGTCCAGGTCACGAGGTTTGACTTCTTGTCAGGGAAGGACGTGTACTGGTGGGGTGCTTCGCCCGAATGTCTCCTTGCATGTCAATCCGCGTAACATTTCCTATCTTCATTGCAGGTGACGCGGTTTGACATGCTGCCAGGGAAGGACGTGTACTGGTGGGGAGCGGCGTCCAACTCACTCACCGACCTGCTCCGGGGCTTCCCTGTCTCAACCAAGCCCCTCCTGGGCACCTTCAACAGCCAGACGCTCGTGGTCAGTAGCAGTGCCCCTTCATGCCTTCATGCCTTCATGCCTTCATGCCTTCATGTCTCGTGGAGCCTGTCAGCCTGAATCTCAATCATGGTTGGGTACCATGTATTAGGTTATCCGATCCACATGAGAAACCCGTACGCCCTGTTAGGCCCTGTTTCCCTTGATACTCCTTCTTCCTCCTCCCTTTCGCTTCCCACCCTTTTTCCCTGAACCCTCCACCAGGTGCGCTTGGCGTCCTACGTGACGTGGGACGACTTCAAGCTGCTCCCAGTGTGGTCCCGAACCACAGCATCCGGCTACGGCCACACAGCCCTAGCATCGATCAACACTCCCGTGCACTCCCGTTTCCCTCCCTTCCTCCTGCCTCCCGTCATGCCTTTCTCAGGTGCGCCTGGCATCAAACGTGACCTGGGACGACTTCAAGCTGCTCTCAGTGTGGTCCCGAACCACCGCATCCGACTACGGCCACATAGCCCTAGAGATCATCGAGCCTCCAGCCCCGCCACCCGCCCAAGCCCCAGCTCCATCCTTCTCCCCTGCACCCTCCTCCTCCCCCGCGCCTTCCCCCGCCCCTTCCCCACTCGCCCCAGCCTCTTCGCCCCAGCCCCCCGAACCTCTTATCCCCGGCCCAGATACCCCCTCCCCTGGTCACGCCCTTCCGTCAGAACCCTCGTATACACCCCCGCCTCAGGCCCCACCCTTGCCCTCCCCCACACCGCCCCCTAAGCCGAGAGCCAGGCGGGGGGCGAGGCAGCCGACTATGTTTGATAACTGCATGCAGCTGAGCCACCGGTACAGGGTGCGGTGGACGCTGGACGAGGAGAATGGATTCGTGGATGTGGGGCTGGAAGCGGTTGTGGGGAGTGGGCCGCACTATCTAGGGTTTGGATGGGCGGACCCGGACAGTGTGACCAAGTTCATGGGGTTTGCGGATGTGGTGATTGCTGGATTCGATGAAGTGGTGAGTCTGCTTTTGAGTCGACTCAAAAGTGGTGAGTTGGGGGCCGAGAAGGGAGGGTTGGAGGTGGGTTTGGTTATGAAGCGTCTTAAACCAAGAGAGTGTTACGAAGCTCATAGGCTTTGCTGATGTGGTCATTGCGGGGTCTGATGAAGTGGTGAGCTGAGATTGGCAAGAGAGGTGCGAAGGGAGGGGAACAGGGGTGAGTGGAGAGAAGAAGAAAGAGAAGTGACAGGAAGGAGGAGAGAGGAGGGAGGACAGTTGAGAGGTGAGGGAGTGGGAGGAAGGGAGAAGAGTAAATATAGGATACTGCTGGTGATGTCCAAAGGGCGGTCTACTTATTCAGTAGCCATTCCCCCCTTTCCGCCCACCCTCTCCCCTGGCCCTTTTTTACCATGCGAAGCCTTTTGTGGAACATTACTTCATCTCATCCTTCGGAGACTGCAATCTGAGAAGACGGTGCTTTTGAGTCGACTCCCATACGAAGCCCTTTGTGGAAGATTACTACTACATCCCATCATACGGAGCCTGGAATTTGAGAAGAAGGTGCTTGAGGGGGTCTGTCCCGAGGCCCACCCCTTTCCTCCCTGTCCCCCACCCCACTCACCCTTTCCTATCCCCAATTTCCCCTCACTCCCTCTCTCCCCATAACCAGGCGAAGCCCTTCGTAGAGGACTACTATATTACATCCTACAGGGAATACAACCTGGAGAAGAAGGTCCTGGAGGGCGTGTGTCCCAACCCACTCCTCCCTGTCACCCACCCACCCCACTCACCCTTTCCTGCCCCCAACCCCACCCCACTCACCCCTCACTCCATCTCTCCCCATAACCAGGCGAAGCCCTTTGTAGAGGACTACTACATCACGTCCTACGGGGAATGCAACCTGGAGAAGAAGGTCCCAGAGGGGGTGTGCCCCGACCGTCTCTTGGGTGGCGGCAACTCGTCTCTCGACAACGTGGATCTGATCTACGGCCACCGGGTGGACGGCATAACTTTCGTCCGCTTCCGCCGCCCGCTTGTCAGCCCGGACAAAAGATTTGATCACGATATCGACGCGGAGGACGAGATGAACGTCATCTGGGCGTTGGGGTCCTTAAAGCCCGTCCCCTCCCCATCCTCCTCCTCCTCTTCCTCCTCCACCTCCTCCCCCTCTGTAGTCGGGGGTGTGGCAGGGGCAGCACACTCAACCCCCGCCCACCTCTTTCCGTCCTACCATGGGGTACCCCAGGGGTCGTCTTTCGGGGTAGCGGTGCTGACTCTAAGTCTAGCTGTGGACGACTGTCAGAGTGTGCTAAACCCGGCTGTTAGCACGGGTGGAGCCGGGGGCGGAGGGGCAGGAGGAGGAGGGGGAGGAGCGGGAGGTGATAGTGGGAATGCAGATGGAAATGAGGATGACGATGATGATGATGAGGATGGGGTGGGGGGGGTGGTGGGGAGCGGATGGGGGAAGGTCGTAGTCGCCGATAGAGGCACGCTCATCACAGTCACGTCGGGTAAAAGCACGCATTACCCCAACCCCCCGTCCTTCACTAAGAGCTTCTACATAAACGGGCACGAGGCGCCTGAGATCAAGGTGGAGCGAGGCGTGCCGGTGCAGTTTTCGATACAAGGCGGGCATGACTTACCGGTGTACATCACATCGGATCCTGTGGGCGGGCGCTTCAACAGTTCGGAGATTATATTCGCGGGCGGGGAGGAGGCGCATGGCGTGCCTGCAGACCCGTACACGCTTCTGTGGAAGCCCACCAGCTCCACTCCAGACCTTGTGTATTACCAGGTGCGCGATTCACCTTGTAGCAGTGGGAGGTGCATGGCCAGTAGTTGTGGGAGGCGATGCCTCGCTCTCCTGTAGTTGTGGGAGGCCATGCCTCGCTCTCCTGTAGTTGTGGGGGGCCATGCCTCGCTCTCCTGTAGTTGTGGGGGGGCATGCCTCTCTCTCCTGTAGTTGTGGGAGGCCATGCCTCGCTCTCCTGTAGTTGTGGGAGGCCATGCCTCGCTCTCCTGTAGTTGTGGGAGGCCATGCCTCGCTCTCCTGTAGTTGTGGGAGGCCATGCCTCGCTCTCCTGTAGTTGTGGGAGGTCATGCCTCGCTCTCCTGTAGTTGTGGGAGGCCATGCCTCGCTCTCCTGTAGTTGTGGGAGGCCATGCCTCGCTCTCCTGTAGTTGTGGGAGGAGTGCATGGCCCGTCCTAAACGCTTTCCGTCCTTCCCCTCCCCCCCGTCAGCCAGTGCTACTCGGAGCCCAAGATGGGGTGGCGCATCCATGTGGTGGACGGTGGGCTATCCGACATGTACAACCACAGCTTCCACTCCTTCCCCTCGTCATCCCCCACTTTCCTCCTCCCTACTCCCTCCTCCCTCCCCCTCTCCTCCCCAGTGCTACTCGGAGCCCAAGATGGGGTGGCGCATCCACGTGGTGGACGGGGGTCTCTCCGACATGTACAACCACAGCTTCCAGCTCGCTGATGGGCTCGTCACCATGTTCTGGACGCTCACTGCCGCCTCCATCTCAGTCGCTGTCAGGGGCGAGCATCCCTCTGGTTACATCGCCATAGCCTTTGGGAGGTGAGGGCCTGTAACCTGCTGCTGACTGTTTGTTAGGCCCTTCAAGTGACGCCAGACGGGCTCGTCACCATGTTCTGGACGCTCACTGCCGCCTCCATCTCAGTCGCTGTCAGGGGCGACCACCCTTCTGGGTACATCGCTATAGCCTTCGGGAGGTAAGCTGCTGTTCTGGCACTTCTCAGCTCGCAGACTGACTCGCCACCGTTTCCCCTGCCTCCATCTTTCTGCCCGTCCAATCGCTCTCTGCCCGTCCAATCGCTCTCTGCCCGTCCAATTGCTCTCTGCCCGTCCATTCGCTCTCTGCCCGTCCAATCGCTCTCTGCCCGTCCAATCGCTCTCTGCCCGTCCAATCGCTCTCTGCCCGTCCAATCGCTCTCTGCCCGTCCAATCGCTCTCTGCCCGTCCAATCGCTCTCTGCCCGTCCAATCGCTCTCTGCCCGTCCATTCGCTCTCTGCCCGTCCATTCGCTCTCTGCCCGTCCAATCGCTCTCTGCCCGTCCAATCGCTCTCTGCCCGTCCATTCGCTCTCTGCCCGTCCAATCGCTCTCTGCCCGTCCAATCGCTCTCTGCCCGTCCATTCGCTCTCTGCCCGTCCATTCGCTCTCTGCCCGTCCAATCGCTCTCTGCCCGTCCAATCGCTCTCTGCCCGTCCAATCGCTCTCTGCCCGTCCAATCGCTCTCTGCCCGTCCAATTGCTCTCTGCCCGTCCAATCGCTCTCTGCCCGTCCAATCGCTCTCTGCCCGTCCAATCGCTCTCTGCCCGTCCAATCGCTCTCTGCCCGTCCAATCGCTCTCTGCCCGTCCATTCGCTTTCTCCCTGTCCCCTTAGGTGCAGTGGCATGCTGAACTCGTGGGCGTACGTGGGGTGGGTGGAGGGGGGCGAGGGGCGCGTGGCCTTGTACTGGATAGACGACAAGGGCGCCAGCAGCAACCAACATCCCACTCCCTTCTCCCTCCCTCTTTCCCTCCCGCCCTCTCACCCCCTGGTTCTGCCTGGCCTCGTTCTCGCTGCGTGCAGTGGCATGGTGAACTCGTGGGCGTATGTGGGGTGGGTGGAGGGGGGCGAGGGGCGCGTGGCATCGTACTGGATAGACAGCAAGGACGCCAGGGGCGTCCACGCGGCCAGGGAGGCGCTGGACATTACCAAGTGCATGCAGGTGGACGGCGTTCTCACCTTTGAGTTCAGCCGCCCGCTCAAGCCACCCGACTCGGACTGCGACGACAAGTGCAGCGTCATCGATCCCTCTGAACCGCTCAAAGTGATCTGGGCGTATGGGCCCTCATGGACCTCAGGTACAGCGCCTGCTGCATTCAGGTACAGCACCTGCTGCATTCAGGTACAGCACCTGCTGCATTCAGGTACAGCGCCTGCTGCATTCAGGTACAGCACCTGCTGCATTCAGGTACAGCACCTGCTGCATTCAGGTACAGCACCTGCTGCATCCAGGTACAGCACCTGCTGCATTCAGGTACAGCACCTGCTGCATTCAGGTACAGCACCTGCTGCATTCAGGTACAGCACCTGCTGCATTCAGGTACAGCACCTGCTGCATTCAGGTACAGCACCTGCTGCATTCAGGTACAGCACCTGCTGCATTCAGGTACAGCACCTGCTGCATTCAGGTACAGCACCTGCTGCATTCAGGTACAGCACCTGCTGCATTCAGGTACAGCACCTGCTGCATTCAGGTACAGCACCTGCTGCATTCAGGTACAGCACCTGCTGCATTCAGGTACAGCACCTGCTGCATTCAGGTACAGCACCTGCTGCATTCAGGTACAGCACCTGCTGCATTCAGGTACAGCACCTGCTGCATTCAGGTACAGCACCTGCTGCATTCAGGTACAGCACCTGCTGCATTCAGGTACAGCACCTGCTGCATTCCAGGTACAGCACCTGCTGCATTCAGGTACAGCACCTGCTGCATTCAGGTACAGCACCTGCTGCATTCAGGTACAGCACCTGCTGCATTCAGGTACAGCACCTGCTGCATTCAGGTACAGCACCTGCTGCATTCAGGTACAGCACCTGCTGCATTCAGGTACAGCACCTGCTGCATTCAGGTACAGCACCTGCTGCATTCAGGTACAGCACCTGCTGCATCCAGGTACAGCACCTGCTGCATCCAGGTACAGCACCTGCTGCATTCAGGTACAGCACCTGCTGCATTCAGGTACAGCACCTGCTGCATCCAGGTACAGCACCTGCTGCATTCAGGTACAGCACCTGCTGCATTCAGGTACAGCACCTGCTGCATCCAGGTACAGCACCTGCTGCATTCAGGTACAGCACCTGCTGCATTCAGGTACAGCACCTGCTGCATCAGGTACAGCACCTGCTCATCCATGCTGCATTCAGGTACAGCACCTGCTGCATCCAGGTACAGCACCTGCTGCATTCAGGTACAGCACCTGCTGCATTCAGGTACAGCACCTGCTGCATTCCAGGTACAGCACCTGCTGCATTCAGGTACAGCACCTGCTGCATTCAGGTACAGCACCTGCTGCATTCAGGTACAGCACCTGCTGCATTCAGGTACAGCACCTGCTGCATTCAGGTACAGCACCTGCTGCATTCAGGTACAGCACCTGCTGCATTCAGGTACAGCACCTGCTGCATTCAGGTACAGCACCTGCTGCATTCAGGTACAGCACCTGCTGCATTCAGGTACAGCACCTGCTGCATTCAGGTACAGCACCTGCTGCATTCAGGTACAGCACCTGCTGCATTCAGGTACAGCACCTGCTGCATTCAGGTACAGCACCTGCTGCATTCAGGTACAGCACCTGCTGCATCCAGGTACAGCACCTGCTGCATTCAGGTACAGCACCTGCTGCATTCAGGTACAGCACCTGCTGCATTCAGGTACAGCACCTGCTGCATTCAGGTACAGCACCTGCTGCATCCAGGTACAGCACCTGCTGCATCCAGGTACAGCACCTGCTGCATTCAGGTACAGCACCTGCTGCATTCAGGTACAGCACCTGCTGCATCCAGGTACAGCACCTGCTGCATTCAGGTACAGCACCTGCTGCATCCAGGTACAGCACCTGCTGCATTCAGGTACAGCACCTGCTGCATTCAGGTACAGCACCTGCTGCATTCAGGTACAGCACCTGCTGCATTCAGGTACAGCACCTGCTGCATTCAGGTACAGCACCTGCTGCATTCAGGTACAGCACCTGCTGCATCCAGGTACAGCACCTGCTGCATTCAGGTACAGCACCTGCTGCATTCAGGTACAGCACCTGCTGCATCCAGGTACAGCACCTGCTGCATCCAGGTACAGCACCTGCTGCATTCAGGTACAGCACCTGCTGCATTCAGGTACAGCACCTGCTGCATCCAGGTACAGCACCTGCTGCATTCAGGTACAGCACCTGCTGCATCCAGGTACAGCACCTGCTGCATTCAGGTACAGCACCTGCTGCATTCAGGTACGGTGCAGCCCTGCCCCACGGGGCTGCTCAAGCTGCCCGACTCTGACTGCGACGACAAGTGCAGCGTCATTGATCCCTCAGAGCCGCTCAAAAGTGATCTGGCGACTTATGAGTCGACTCAAAAGTCACCTGACTGCAACGACTAGTGCAGTGTCATTGATCCGTCAGAGCCGCTCAACCCCCCTTAGCATGCAACCAGCCCCCCCTAGCATGCAACCAACCCCCCTGGGTACATTGGTGCACTGGGGCACTGGTGCACACTGGTGCAGTCAGTGGTGCATACTAAAGCAGTGGTGCACTGGGGCATGGGGGCACTGGTGCACACTGGTGCACTGGGGCACTGGTGCGCTGGGGCACTGGGGCACTGGTGCACTGGGGCACTGGTGCACTGGTGCACTGGGGCACTGGGGCACTGGTGCACTGGGGCACTGGTGCACTGGTGCACTGGGGCACTGGTGCACTGGTGCACTGGGGCACTGGGGCACTGGTGCACTGGGGCACTGGTGCACTGGTGCACTGGGGCACTGGGGCACTGGGGCACTGGGGCACTGGGGCACTGGTGCACTGGTACACTGGTGCACTGGGGCACTGGTGCACTGGGGCACTGGGGCACTGGGGCACTGGTGCACTGGTGCACTGGGGCACTGGTGCACTGGGGCACTGGGGCACTGGGGCACTGGTGCACTGGGGCACTGGTGCACTGGGGCACTGGTGCACTGGGGCACTGGTGCCAACGACAGTGTGAAGCGCCACCGTGGCAGGTGGAGCACCACAGTAGCCATCCTGGACTTGGAGACGAGGGCGCACATGGGAACGCACCACCAACGACATGCGCTTTTATCGCATGCTCCCTCCCTCCGCCCCCCTCCCCCCCCTATCCGGCCACCTCTCGTACATGAGCATGCACACGGTGTGGAGCACCACTAGAGGTCGTCCCAGTGACTGCACCCTCACATCCTCCCATTCCCATTTGCTTCCCCTCCCCCCCTATCAGGCCACCTCTCGTACATGAACATGCATACGGTGTGGAGCACCACGGTGACCATCTTGGACCTGGAGACGGGCGAGGGCACAGTGGAGCATCTGCAGCCGGTGTTTGTGGTGCACGGCTTCATGATGACCATGGCGTGGGCCGTGCTCATGCCCTTTGGCGTCCTGGCTGCTCGCTACCTGAAGCACAACGACTGGCTCTCGTGAGTTGCCTTTCCTTGTCAAGGTGTAGGGATAAGAAAGTATGAAGCCATCTGCAGCCGGTGCTTGTGGTGCACGGGCTCATGGTGATCATGGCGTGGGCCGTATTGATGCCCTTCGGTGTCCTTGCTGCTCGCTACCTCAAGCACAGTGACTGGCTCTCGTGAGTGTAAATTACTCCTTCGCCTTCGCCTTCGCCTTCTTTCACTAGAGTTCTGGATTGGCTCCTGCAGCCGGCGGTTGTGGTGCATGGGTTCATGGTGACCATGGCGTGGGCTGTGCTCATGCCCTTTGGCGTGGGCCGTGCTCATGCCCTTTGGCGTGGGCCGTGCTCATGCCCTTTGGCGTGGGCCGTGCTCATGCCCTTTGGCGTGGGCCGTGCTCATGCCCTTTGGCGTGGGCCGTGCTCATGCCCTTTGGCGTGGGCCGTGCTCATGCCCTTTGGCGTGGGCCGTGCTCATGCCCTTTGGCGTGGGCCGTGCTCATGCCCTTTGGCGTGGGCCGTGCTCATGCCCTTTTGGCGTGCTCGCTGCTCAATATCCAAAGCACAACAACTGGCTCTCGTGAGTTGTTTTCATCGACACTTCAAAGCATGTGTACCCAGTGTTTGTGGTGTGGTGCGCCCATGAGTTCATCATGCCTAGCTCTCGTGAGTTCATCCTGACTGCTCCCACTCTCATGCTCATAGGGCACGGCTTCTCGTTTCCCCCATGTTGCTTCCCACCATTCCGCCCTACACACCCATTTATTTTTGAGTCGACTCAAAAATAGACTCATTACACACGCCCTACACACCCATCTATTTCCCCTGTTCCCCTGTGCCCTTGTCAATGCAGCATCCACCTGTACACGCAGTACTCCGCCCTCGCGCTCATGCTCCTGGGTCTGCTCGTGCTTTACCTAACGCTTCCCCTGCCGTTTTCTCTGTTCTCCCCTGTTTCTGTACACCTCTGTGTCGCCAATGCAGCATCCACCAGTACACGCAGTACTCTGCTCTCGCGCTCATGCTCCTGGGGCTGCTCTTTGCTGTTGGTGAACTCGGCGGGTGAGAGACTATGTCCCTTGTGCTCTCCTGTCCCTTGTGCTCACCTAGTCCTAGTGCCTGGACCCCCCCATGCGTACACCACCGCATGCGTACACCACCCCATGCGTACAACCCCCCATGCGTGCATTTTGAACTTCGGAGAAATTGGCTCTCCACGCCCCCCTACCCTTGTCCGATCTGCTTGTGTTTCCCTTCTCCCCTGTTCCCAGGTACCTTCAGTATCGACCTTTCTCCCCCTCCCCCGCCTTACCTTGTCACTTCTACCTGTTTCCCCCCTTCTCCTGTGCCTTCTCCCATGCCCCCTAATCCCCCCCCCCCCTCAGCATCGATCTCTCATCCAACCATGCCATGATAGGAATGGCATCCGTTGCCCTGGGCTGCCTTCCCCCCCCCTCATTCCTAACCTTGTTGCTTCTACCTGTTTCCCCCCTTTCTCCCGTGCCTTCTCCCGTGCCTTCTCCTGTGCCTTCTCCCGTGCCTTCTCCCGTGCCTTCTCCCGTGCCTTCTCCCGTGCCTTCTCCTGTGTCCCCTACACCCCTGCCCCCCCTCAGGATCGATCTCTCATCCAATCATGCCAAGATAGGGATGGCAACCTTTGCCCTGGGCTGCTTCCAGCCAATCAATGCTTTCTTCCGCCCACCCAAACCCTCTCCTGGGGAGAGGCCCCAGATGAAACGGGTCATCTGGCAGTGGGTGCACATGTGAGTGCGTTTCATCTGGCAGTGGGTGCACGTTTGAGTGCGTTTCATCTGGCAGCGGGTGCACATGTGAGTGCGTTTCATCTAGCAGCGGGTGCACAAGTGAGTGCGTTTCATCTGGGAGTGGGTGCTCATGTGAGTGCGTTTCATCTGGCAGTGGGTGCTCATGTGAGTGCGTTTCATCTGGCAGTGGGTGCACATGTGAGCGCCTTTCATCTGGCAGTGGGTGCACATGTGAGTGCGTTTCATCTGGCAGCGGGTGCACATGTGAGTGCGTTTCATCTGGCAGTGGATGCACATGCGAGTGCTGTCTTGGATGCATACACCGATTACCAGGATCTTGTGTTTCTCCTCGGTGCATCCAAGTTACTTAGCTGTAGTTGCGCATTTCTCTGTTACCCCACCACCCTGCACTACACTGCAGTCTTTTTGGCCGGCGTTCGGTGGTGGTGGGGGGAGCTGCGCTGGTGACCGGGATAACAGGGTTGGGCAAAACAGGGGGCGGCGACTACACGGTGGACGGATTTCCCTGGACCCCCACAACCAGCACTCTTCCTTATTGCATTTGCCTAATTTGCATACTCTGACCCCCCCCTTTTATGTGCAGCCTTTTTGGCCGAGGAGCGTTGGTGGTGGGGGGCGCGGCGCTGGTGGCGGCGGATTCACACGTCCCCCTGTTTACCTCCCCACAACGAGGTGCCTTTTGAAAGTCACAACGACTCAAAAGTCACCTAGTCGACTCAAAAGTCACCTCGCATTCACACTTCCCCTGTTTACCTCCCCACACCCCCCCATCCGCCAATCCCTCTAGTCTTTCCGGCCGGGGATCACTCCTGGTGGGAGGCGCGGCGCTAGTGACAGGGATAATTGAGTTGGGCGAAACAGGTGGCGATGACTACACGGTGGACAACTTCCTGTGGGCCATGCTGGGCTGGTTCGCCATCATCGCTGCCTTTGTGTGGTTTGTGGAGCGCACAAGACGGCAAGACCAGTGAGTGCCATCACCTCAACCTTCCTCAAACCCTGGGGGACTGATCACATGGTGGTGGTTGGTTTTCTGTGGGCCATGCTGGGCTGGTTCGCCATCATCGCTGCCTTTGTGGTTTGTGGAGCGCACAAGACAGCAGGACCAGTGAGTATTGAGTGGCTAGTTAACCGAAACCTTGAGTGGCTAGTGAACCTTAGAGAGGCTCACTACACGGTGGACAGCTGTGGGCCATGCTGGGGTGGTTCGCCATCATCGCTGCCTTCGTGTGGTTCGTGGAGCGCACCAGGAGGCAGGGCCAGTGAGTGCTCTGTGCATGTAGACCGAACTCTACTGAACTGGAGAGAAAAGTGGGGGGGGGGAGGGGGGAGGACGGGCTGTGAGTGCAGGGTAACTGGCTTCCTGTGGGCCATGCTGGGGTGGTTCGCCATCCACGCCCATCCACGCCCATCCACGCCCATCCAAGCCCATCCACGCCCATCCACGCCCATCCACGCCCATCCACGCCCATCCACGCCCATCCAAGCCCATCCACGCCCATCCACGCCCATCCACGCCCATCCAAGCCCATACAAGCCCATCCACGCCCATCCACGCCCATCCACGCCCATTCAAGCCCATCCACGCCCATCCACGCCCATACAAGCCCATCCACACCCATCCACGCCCATCCAAGCCCATCCAAGCCCATCCAAGCCCATCCACGCCCATCCAAGCCCATCCACGCCCATCCACGCCGATCCAAGCCCATCCACGCCCATCCACGCCCTCATGGCTGCCTTGGTGTGGTTCGTGGAGCGCACGAGAAGACAGGACCAGTGAGTCACACCACTTCAGCCTCATCCTTCAACCCTGAACCTGAAACCCTGGAAGGGGGGGGGAAGGGAGGGAGGGGGTGGGGGGTTTTATACTCTATGTGGAGTCCTGTGGGGCGTGCCATGGTGGGTTGGTTCGCCATCATCGCTGCCGTTGTGTGGTTTGTGGAGCGAACAAGACGGCAGGACCAGTGAGTCACAGCACTTGAGCCTGGTCCTTCAACCCTGAACCTAAAACCCTAGAAAGGGGGGGGAGATGGGCGGGGTGTGGGTTTGTGGGGGGCTATGCTGTTTGTGGGTTCCTGCGGGCTGTGCCATGGTGGGGTGGTTCGCACTGTTGTTGCCGTCGTGTGGTTTGTGGAGTGCACGAGACTGCAGGTTCAGTGAGTGATGACGTGGCAATACAGTACTTATCAGTGGTTGCAGGGAGGTGGGGGCAGGGCAGTGGTCGGCTGATGCATGCCAGCCTACTGTTCACTGGTTGCTTTTCCTCTGCTTTTCCTCTGCTTTCCTCTGCTTCGCTCTGCTTTCCTCTGCTTCGCTCTGCTTTCCTCTGCTTCGCTCTGCTTTCCTCTGCTTCGCTCTGCTTTCCTCTGCTTCGCTCTGCTTTCCTCTTCTTCGCTCTGCTTTCCTCTGCTTCGCTCTGCTTTCCTCTTCTTCGCTCTGCTTTCCTCTTCTTCGCTCTGCTTTCCTCTGCTTCCTCCCTCCTCCACATCTCCCACTCTTCACCCGGCGCCGGTATGCTTGTACATACCTGCTACTCTCCTGCCCATCGTACACCCCTTACTCAATACAGTGCCACACCGCAAGAGCTGGCCAACATGATTCGGCATGACTGGAACGGGTCGTCGTCAGCATCATCGGACATGCATGTGACACAGCTAGACAGCGAGGACAGTGAGGACGACACCCGCACCCTCATCCCCTCCACCGTCCGCTCCTCCTCCTCCTCCTCCTCTTCCTCCTCCACTCCTGCCCACACATTCAGCTCCTCTCAACCCAACTCCTCTCAAAACGTTAATGGATGGCCTGGATCTTCTGCCTCTCCTGCCCGGGGAAATCCATCTAATTCACCTGCCCGGTTGGGCCCTACTGCTGCTTCACCTGCCCGGTTGGGCCCTACTGCTGCTTCACCTGCCCGGTTGGACCCTACTGCTGCTTCACCTGCCCGCATGGCCAACTCTGCTTCCCCTGCTCACGGCCTGCCTGTGATAAGGGAGGGGAGGGAGGCTTGGGTTGGTGGACAAGGGAATAGGAGAGGTGGGTCGGCGGAGGATCATGATGGGGAGATAGAAATGGGGACTATTAAGGGTTGAAAACACTTAGGCTCATAGTGTTTGGGTTGATTAGTGTTAATTTTTGTTTCTCAAGTGAAAGTTTTCATTGCTGCCCCTCAAGTTGATTGCTGGGCTGGGGGCACTGCCAAGGAATCAACAGTTCGAAAACCATTGATAACAGACACCCGTGAGTACAATACATGGCAGTACAGCTCTAAACCCTATCCTACGGTACACTGGACACGCCATACAGGAAACGAAAGAAAACACTGCACATTTAGAATCATTCCAGCATCAGTCAAACAATCCCCTGACTTTGTACCGGGTGTACTTGCCGCTGCTGCTGTATCTTTGCTCCTTGTCCGACCCCACCCTACACTCCCCTCCTCATCTCCGTCCGCCCTTACCACCCCTTCCCTTTCTCTTGATCTCTGCGATCTCCGCGTGGAGCAGGGCGATCTTCTCCCTTCTTCAGCGAGGCATGACCACGTAATTTTCCAGCAGCGTTTCCCGGTACAGCAGAATCACAGCCAACCGTCCCCTGGCTCTGCTCTAAGTGTACTTGCTGCTTCTGCTGCTTCTGCTGCTGCTGCTGCTTCTGCTGATGCTGCTGCTTCTGCTGCTGCTGCTTCTGCTGCTGCTGGTGGTGCTGCTGGTGCTGCTGGTGCTGCTGGTGCTGCTAATGCTCCAGAATCAGAAGCACCACCCTCAGCCCCACCACCACCCACTGCATCAACCTCTCCTCCACTCCTCCTCTCGACCCCTCCCCGTCCCTGCATCTCCGCAATTTCCGCCTGCACCAGGGCGATCTTCTCTCTGAGGCTTTGAACGACCACTTGGTTCTCCAGCAGCGCTTCCCGGTACACCGGATCCGGCTCTGCGATGTCCGCGGCTTGGAGCTCCTCGTTAGAGCGTATAAGATGCCGGACGGCGTTCTGCAGCCGCTTTTCTTCTAATTCTAAGAGTTCTAACTGCTGCTGAAGGTCCTGGGTTAGCTGACGCATCGGGAGGAGCGGGGTGGAGGATTGGCTCGGAAGAGGCTCGGAAGTGGTTCGGACTTGGGAATTGCTAGGGGAGGGTTGGGCGTGCCTGTCTGGTTGCTCTTGCGCGTGCCGCTGCGGCTGATGTTGCGCAGATGGATCGTCCAAGTGATGGTCGCTGCGATCCTGGTGATGGTGGTGATGATGATGATGATGATGGTGATGGTGATGGCGTTGACTTTGGGTGGACGAACGAGGGCCGCTGATTTGTGAAGGGTCTGTGTCGACATCCATGTCCGACGATATGGACGAACGCAAATCCAGTTTTACGAAGGCGCGAGACAGTAAAATATGAGTCTGGAGAGGGTAGTGAAGAAGGGTTTGCCGAGGAGTGCTGAGCTATAAGTGACGGATGTTGTGTCGAAGGAACTGGATGAGGGAAAGATATATAAGAACATGGGCGATCACAAAAGTGGATTGAGTATGTACTGTATCGCGTATGAGATGTTGTGGCGGTTCGTTGAACATCTTTCGGCCAATCCCTTTGCTCCACGAAGGCGAGAAACTTCAAGCCCAGCTTCCTCAGATTTTCCCGACAAGTCCCGAAAGAGCAGCTTTCCTCAGATTCTCCGGAGGATATCTGTCCTTGCTGGACCGTTCCGCCAATGACCATCGTGAGCCGACGATAACGTGGACGTAAAAGATGCCCTTTCCAAAGCAGGGGGAAAGCGCATGCCACGCTGGACGACAGTCATGGCAGACAAGCAGCTTTTGATCTGAGGCTGCTTCATTCCTCCTCACTCACACAGAGCAGAGCAGAGCCAGCAACGGAGATCAATAGGGCCCTGTGTAGTTCAGTATTTTATGACACGAATCAGGAATCAAGAATCCGACCTGCTAATTCAAGAATCATCCCTGAATCATACGTCTCCGTTCCAGCAAAATTACAAACCGTCTGGTGAGCTCTCTTCTTGATCCCGCCAGGCAGCGAGCGGATCATCGAGCTCATTGATCCCGCCAGGAAGATTCACATACCGTCTCCTTGCGTGACCGAACTATTACTGCATTCGGTTTCTTACCTTCAAATATGGCGACCATCGTGAAGCACGTGTCTCCCGCGAACCTCGCGCGCAAGTCGTCCAACCGAGCGTGCCTCGGCAAATCGGGAAGATCCCTCCAAGCCAACGCCAACTCCTTCACCCCTCGCACGGCTAAGATTCTCACCGAGATTGCCGCCGTGAGATCCGGCCAAAAATCGATTCCCGCCCGCCAGACCGCGACTATCAGAAGGACAGCGGTCGGGTCGGTTCGAGCCTCGGCGGCTGCCGGTGCTGACGTGGAGGAATGGAGCAAGGCGGCGCGGCTGGTTAGGCAGGAGCAGCTGGAGGGCCAGGCGCTGGACGTGCTTCAGAAGACCATCGATAGCTTCGAGCGACCCGCGTTCCCCTGCGCGCTTATTGCGGGCGACGTGGTAAGCACCTAGTAATCAATCCGTAAAAAGAAAGAAAGAAATAATAAAAAACCTTATAATTTATTCCCGTGCGCCATGATAGCACCTAGGTTTGGCACCCTGAAAGTCTACTGCTCCACTTGCGAATGTCATCTCCCAACCGTTTAAAGCATAATCTGTTAATCGGTTTGATACGTCTTCTCTTTCCTCTTCCTCCATTTTCACCCACATTATTTCTATCGTCAATTGATCTCCTTGTTTTGTTCACTCGTCGCCGGCAGGTGATCCTGCACCTGCTGCACCGGCTCGGCGCGCTGGGCGATGACCCCAAGGTGAAGATCGTGTTCATCGACACGTTCCACCTCTTCCCGGAGACGTACCAGTTCCTCAAAGACTGCGAGGTATGTGAGTGTGACAATGTGCGGTGTGCGACTGCGAGGTGAGAGCAGCACGAGGTGATGCGGGTGTGGCGTCTGAGCCAATGTCAAGGCCACCCCTTCGGCTCGTTCCACCTCTTCAGGGAGGCGTACCAGTTCCTCAAAGACTGCGAGGTGTGCTAGTGTGGGGTGTGCTAGTGTGGGGCGTGCGAGTGTGGCGCGTGCGAGTGTGGGGCGTGCGAGTGTGGGGTGTGCGAGCGGGAGGTGCGTGGATCGGGTGAAGCGCGCCACTTCTCGAAAAACGTGATCGGACGCGACGCCAGCCTTTCACATTCCGCTAGACGCGTTAGTTTTACAGAGCCAAAGTCGCCTTGACCAGTATGCCTTTATGGCCGACCATGCCCTTCCTTTTTCCCCGCGCCTCCCTTGTTTTTCGCTGTTTCTTGCTCCGCAGGAGCGGTTCGGCTTCAAGGCGGAGGTGTTTCAGGCGGCGGGGCTGAAGTCCAAGGAGGAGTACGTGGCAAAGCACGGCTCGGACCTCTTCATCACGGTGAGAGACGGTGTAGCTTGGACTGTGTAGCGGGTGAGAGAAGCTTCTTGCTACGGAGAGGGGAGTTGTACGGCATTCAGGCAATTTGCAATTTTAGAGGATCTAGGTAACCCAGAGCCGAACAGAAGTCAGAAGTCATGTTAATTCGGGGCCAGAGTCAGAACTCTGCTACATCCGAGAGTTACGGGTTTTACAGACCCCTGCCTGCCGGGATAAACTTTTAGGATTCTAAATATGGCTCCTCTGTAAACATCCGAGAGTTACGGGTTTTGCAGACCTCTGTATACGGGCTTTGCAGGCCCCTGCCTGCCAGGATTTCCGAGGTTGTTGGAACCCAAAGCCCCATGCGCAAACGAAATGATGAAATAAGTAGGCGAGCTGAGAGCGACTGCGAAGCTGCCAGGTGGAACCGTTGAGCTGAGATTTTCTTACCATGGCCGAGGTGTATTTTTTTAGTCCACTCGAAATACACCCAGAATACCTTTGAGTCGGCTTGATAAAAACCCAGAATACTTTTGAGTCGGCTCGAAATACAAGTGCAAGGTGGAACCGTTTACCTGAGATCCTCTGGTGATTTTTGAGTCGACTCAAAAATCAAGGTGGAACCGATTACCTGAGATCCTCTGACCATGGCCCAGCATGGACCATCCCTTCCCCCCCTGTGCCCCATCAATCCTCAACCAATCAGGACATCGACAAGATGTGCCCCTGTACACACGGCCCAGCACGGTGGAGCCGCTCAGCCGATATTTGGAGTGTCATCTTCCCTCCCCTTCCCCCCCCCCTTCTCTCCACCCCCCTTCTCCCCTCCCCCCTTCTCCCTTCCCCCCTTCTTCCCCCCCCTTCTTCCCACCCTTCTTCCCCCCCTTCTCCCCCCCCCCTTCTTCCCCCCACCCTTTTCCCCCCTCCCTTCTTTCCCCCCGCTTCTTTCCCCCCTCTCCACCAACCCCCATCAGGACATTGACGAGTACGATCAGATCTGCAAGGTGGAGCCGTTCAGCCGCGCGCTGACGTCACTCAACGTGGATGCGATGATCAACGGGCGGCGGAGAGACCACGGCGCCGAGAGGGCGCACCTGGAGGTGTTTGAGGACGGCGCGCCAGTCAAGGTCCAGCCACTGGCCTACTGGGAGTTCAAGGACTGCTTCGATTACCTGGAGAGGCACGGCGTGCCGCCCCACCCCCTGCACGCGGACGGCTTCCCCTCCATAGGCGACGTGCAGACCACTCTGCCCATCCCGCCGGCCAAGTGGTTCGAGTACGGTGGAGAGCGGTCAGGGCGGTTCCAGGGGCTGAAGAACAGGGATGGGTCGGACAAGACGGAGTGTGGCATCCATGTGGAAGACGCTGTCGCCTCCTCCCTCTCCCCTCCTTCCTCTTCTCTCTCCCCTCCTTCCTCCTCTCTCACACCTCCTTCCTCCTCTCTCACACCTCCTTCCTCCTCCCTCACACCTCCTTCCTCCTCCCTCACACCTCCTTCCTCCTCCCTCACTCCCCCGTCCTCCTCCCTCACTCCCCCGTGATTTGCCTCGTGGCTGAAAACCTAACAGAGGTGAGGTGAGGTTGCCACGAGGCACAATATCTTGCCGGTAGCTGTCTGATATGTCCTCTTGGGGAAATTTATTTTGGACGGTAAGGGATGTGATGGGATGGGATGGGATGGGATGGGATGGGATGGGGTGGGATGGGATGGGATGGGATGGGATGGTTGGGTCGAGAGGGTCCTTCCCTCCAGAGTCGAGACTAAGGCATGCGCGATCTTTTGTATCGCTCCCTGCCCCACCCTACGTGAAATGTTATGGCACCAGCACAGGATTAGACTACACGTGTAAGAGCAGACCTTGTTACTGCATGACACTTCACTCCATTGGATGTCTCTCTGTTGTATCACTGCTTACCTATCCACACTAATAGAAAACCACACTTCCAAATGGAGTGGCACTGATGTAAAGCGGCACAGCACACTGTTGGAACAATGGAATTGCGAACTCTCGCCCAAGTGAGGGGAGCAATGGCTGCTATGTTGAGTCTAAACAGACACATAATCAGTAAAGTAGCAACCTACAGTGCACATTGCATACAATACACTACTCGAATAACTGTATAAAGAATGGAGGTTCTATGCAGAACTGTTGATTTCGTTTGATGTAGCACATCTGGTTGACACCTGCATGGTAAGATCCAGTAAACGGTGCTGTTGCATTGCATGCACATGCAGCCAGAAAGGAGATCTGGAAGCAATGGTGAGTGCGTCGAGCATGGAAAGCACGCTGGTGTGCATGGCCATCCAGTAGAGCACCAGCAGCAGGTGCATCATGGGACATTGCAGTGACATGTATGTCAGATGAGACGCGTTCAGCCTCAAGAGACAGTGAGAGCGGCGAGCATGGCAAGCATGCCAGCATGCATGGCCATCCAGTAGAGCACCAGCAGCAGCCGCATCATGGGCCGGGCCATCAGCGACTGCCCTCCCGCCACACTGATAGGGGAGGAAGGGAAGAAGGAAGAGGGGTGGGAGGGAGAAAGGGAGGGACAGTGAGAGGCGTTAGCTTCATGGGTCACAAGCCAACATGCATGGGTCAACGCGCAATAGAGGGTACATGCTCTGGTTCCACTTTGTAATACGCACCAGAGGCGGTGGAATCTTTTGAGTCGACTCAAAAGTCACTTCTGGTTCCACTTAGTGATACCCACCAGAGGCGGTGGAAGCACACGCAAAGTGCAATCAGCACGTACCACAGTCGATCGATGCCCTTGGCGGCTGGGTGCAGGAAGGCAGGCAGGAAACGGAAGGCGCTGACGATTGACTTGAACCCGTGCACTGAGATGAAGAGGGGGGGAGAGAGAGAAATGACGAAACGGAGGAAAGGAAACGGGAAGATTGGGGGTTAGTGTTAGAAGCAGGAAGCGGAAGGCGGAGCCTATTGACTTGAATCCATGCACTGAGATGAAGGGGTTAGAGGCAGAGAGGCAGGCGAGACCGAGCAGCAGGAAGCATCCTGAAAGTGCACGTGCGATGTGCAGGAAGCAATTTCAAGCCTTCCATCGCGATGTCGTCCAAACGGCTGTCCTGTGCATCCCACCTTCGTCATCGGGATACGAGTCAGCAATCCGCAGTGCCGTGTGGGCCGCCAGCGAGGAGGACGATGATGTGGCGAGCTGCTGCGCCAGCAGAGGCAAGTACTCTGCTGATGTGTCAGACGCGCCTCCCCCGGGTGTGGCCTTCCTCTGTGTGGTGACCGGCAACAGGGAGGACGCCGAGGAGGAGGTGGCGGGGGGTCCTGGTGGGTTGCTGGCCTTGCGCTTCTGGTGCGGGAATGGAGAGAGGCGTGCACAGGGAAACAGCCACAGGGAAAGAAGAGTAAGAAATAGCAGTGGTTATTTCAACGGCTGATAGCAGGGCAGTGGTTATGAGGGCAGTGGTTATGAGGGCAGTGGTTATGAGGGCAGTGGTTATGAGGGCAGTGGTTATGAGGGCAGTGGTTATGAGAGCAGTGGTTATGAGGGCAGTGGTTATGAGAGCAGTGGTTATGAGGGCAGCGGTTATGAGGGCAGTGGTTATGAGAGCAGTGGTTATGAGGGCAGCGGTTATGAGGGCAGTGGTTATGAGAGCAGTGGTTATGAGGGCAGTGGTTATGAGGCAGTCAGGTGATTTCAACCACTGCTCGTAACCTAGTCCTTCATGTTGCAGGTGATTTTTGAGAGCGGAAAGAGAGCCCGGGGGGAGCCTCTTCCTGTGTGAGGCGTGACTGGCAGCAGAGTGGAGGCTGCTGAGGAGGAGGAGAGGAGGGGAGGTGAGGGGCCTGGCTTGCGCTTCTGACAGTGTGAGACGGTGGGGGACTGCTGCAGGGAGAAGGACGGCTGATTTTTTAGTCGACTAAAAAATCACCTTTCTAAGTCGCCTAAAAAATCACCTTTTTGAGTCGACTAAAAAAACACCTTTTTGAGTCAACTAAAAAATCACCTTTTTTAATCGACTAAAAAACCACTTGCGCTTCAGACGGTGTGAGAGGTTAGGGGACAGCGGGGGAGAGAGAAGGACGGATAATGCGGGGACAGAGAATCAAGACACGAGACCATAAAGCTCGTGACCCCCCCACGCGCACCCTCACTGCCCCGCCAATCCCAGTCAGGTATCCCCCCAAACCCCCCTGAACCACACCTCCCCCTTGTGCTCTCAACGTTTCTTCTGTCTCCCTCCGGGATGCCTCCAGTCTCCCCTCCAGCACTCTCACTGCCTCGCCATTCCCAATCCGGCAACTCCCCATAACCCCCCATAACCCCCCATAACCCCCCATACCCCCCCATAACCCCCCATTCCCCCCAATTCCCCACGAACCACCTCCCCCTTGTGCTCTCACCAGTTCTTCTGTCTCCCTCCGAGACGCCTCCAGTCTCCCTTCCAGCACTCTCACTGCCTCGCCCGCTGCTGCCACCTCATTGCGCAGCTCGGCATCCCTCTCTGCCACGTCACTGGGAGGAGTAAGAAGACCAGCACCCCCATCTGCCCGCGGCTGCTGTGGCAAAGAAGCATCACTCTGCGCTGCCTGCTCCTCTGGTTGAGTACCAACTTCTGCCTCAGCAGCAGGAGGCCCCTTGTCAGTGCCAGCAGCGGCACCAGGACCAGCACCACCAGAAGCAGTAGTGGTAGCACCAGCACCAGCAGCTGCCGCGGCGCCAGCACCAGAAGCAGCAGCAGCTGCAGCAGACCCTGCCACCCCTCGCAGTTGCGCCTCCCTCAGTTGCAGCCTTTCCTGCAGCTGCTGTAGCTCTGCGTCTTTTTCTCGTAGCATATCCGTCATTTCCCTCTCCTTCTCTCCCAACCTCTCCTCCATCTCCCGGTCCTTCTCCTCCAGCCTCGCCTCTGCCTCAAGCACCACCGCCTCTGACTGCAATCATGGTGCGCAGGGATGGATACGGATAGGGATGCTGTGTTGAGAGACTGGAATGCAGGGGATAGGGCATCGGGGCACAGCAAATATCCAGTCTCGCCTCTGCTTCAAGCACCACTGCTTCTGACCGCGAGGTGGGCAAAGGGATGGGGTGGGCATGTGGGGATAAGGTAGGTATGCATGCAGTCGGTTGGGGGGAGGGGGGGGAGGGGAACAAGCAGCGCGCTCTCACATCTCAGCAACCGAGCCCGCGTCCACTCTCACATGGCACATGTTTTATGTGGATGATAATTGTGTTTCGAGTTGTCTCTAAACACGATGTCTCAGCAACCGAGCCCCGCGCCCACTCTCACATGGCACATGTTTTACGTGGACGATAATTGTGTTTCGAGTTGTCTGTAAACACGATGTCTCAGCAACCGAGCCCTGTGCCCACTCTCCCATGGCACATGATTCAAAACTGTTCAAAAGCTCCTCAACCGGCAAACCTTCCCAGGGTCGCTTTTGAGTCGACTCAAAAGCTCCTCCACCTGCAAACCTTCCCAGGGTCGCTTTTGAGTCGACTCAAAAGCTCCTCCACCTGCAAACCTTCCCAGGGTCGCTTTTGAGTCGACTCAAAAGCTCCTCCACCTGCAAACCTTCCCAGGGTCGCTTTTGAGTCGACTCAAAAGCTCCTCAACCGGCAAAACTGTTCAGGCTCCTCAACCGGCAAAACTATTCGGGCTCCTCAACCGGCAAAACTGTTCAGGCTCCTCAACCTGCAAAACTGTTCAGGCTCCTCAACCTGCAAAACTGTTCAGGCTCCTCAACCGACAAAACTGTTCAGGCTCCTCAACCGGCAAAACTGTTCAGGCTCCTCAACCGGCAAAACTGTTCAGGCTCCTCAACCGGCAAAACTGTTCAGGCTCCTCAACCGGCAAAACTGTTCAGGCTCCTCAACCTGCAAAACTGTTCAGGCTCCTCAACCGGCAAAACTGTTCAGGCTCCTCAACCGGCAAAACTGTTCAGGCTCCTCAACCGGCAAAACTGTTCAGGCTCCTCAACCGGCAAACCTTCCCAGGTTCAGCAGCAAACGCCTTAGTAATTACCAGCGCTACTAGACATCCCGGATCAATCCACCTGCGCCTGCACTCACCTGCGCCTGAGCCCATCTGTGAGTGAACTTACCTGCGCCTGAGCCTCCTTAAGTTCTCCACCATCATCTTGAGCTTCTCCACTGCCTTGCAACCAACACTACCTGTACATGCTGTCCCCCCCTGAGCAATGCAGGCAAGAGTAAATCAACCCACCTGCGCCTGAACCTCCTTAAGCTTCTCCACCATCATCTTGAGCTTCTCCACTGCCTTGCTCCGTGCTGCTGCCACCGACGCCACCATCGCCTCCTTCTCCCCTACCTCCCTTCTTAACCTCTCCACTTCTCCATCCCTACCCTCCATTTCCCTTCGTAATCTCTCCACCTCTTCATCCCTCACCTCCACCTCTTTCCTCCACTTCTCCACCCCGCCATCCCACTCAGCAGCCCCCTGCCGCAGATTGCCAATCTCCCCTTCCCTCTCCTCAACCTGTGCTCTTAGCTCCTCAACCCTTGCTTCTTTCTCCCTTACCTCCCGCTTGAGGCTCTCTATCTCCTCTTCCTTCTCTTGCAATGCAACCTCCAATTGATCTAGCCTCTTTTCCCTCTCGCCCTTATCCCCGTCCTCCCCACCCCTCATCTCCCTTTCCCTCCTCTCCCATTCCCTCTCACTCCTCATTTCACCAACCTCACCCCGCATACCCTCAACCTCTCTCCTCATCTCATCTACCTTCCTCTCCCTCTCCTCAGCTTCCTTCGTCAGTCTCTCCCCTCTCCTCCTCTCTTCTTCCAACTCCCCTCTCAATCGCTCTCCCTCCCTCTCAACCCCCTCTTTCTCCGCCTGTAAACCACCCTTCTCTTCTTCTAGTCGCTCCTTCTCCCCTTCTAGGCGCGCCACTGCTGCCTTTAAGCCCCCCTTCTCCCCCTCCACCCGGCCAATCTCAGCCTGCAATGCGTCCCTCTCTCCTTCCAACTCCTCAATCCGACATGTCAGCACCGATAGCCGCTCTTCCCAACCCTGCTTCTCACCCTGCAATGCGTCCCTCTCTCCTTCCAGCTCCTCAATCCGACACCCCAGCACCGATAGCTGCTCCTCCAATCCTTGCTTCTCAGCCAGTGCCTGTTGCCCTGCTGCCACGAGTGCCACCCTTTCTGCCCTTAACGCGTCTCTCTCTGCTGTTAACGCGTCCCTCTCTGCCTCAAGCTCAAGAATCTTAGACTTCTGTAGCGATACGTGCTCTTTCTGCTCATTAACCTCGTTATAAGCTCTTTCTTTTTCCGCCTCTAGCTGCTCCTTCTCCACATGCCATTGCTCCCTTTCCTTCTCCACCTGTAACTGCAGCTCTGCTATTTGCCCCTCCAACTTCTCCTCCCGCTCCCTCACTCTCTCTTCCTCCTCCCTCACCCGCTCCTCCTTCTCCCTCACTCTTTCCTCCTGCACTCTCACTCTCTCCTCCTCCTCCCTCACTCTCTCCTCCTCCTCCCTCACTCTCTCCTCCAGCTCCCTCACCCTCTCTCGCACAGCCACCACATCCAGATCCTCCCCATTACCTCCTCCCTCATCTACCTCCTTCCTCTGCTCCTCCCCACTACCTCCTACCCCATCTTCCACCTGCTCCTCACGACTGGCCCGTGCCAGCTCAGAACGGACACTCACTAGCTCATCACGAGCACTCGCCAGCTCATCACAACCACTCGCCAGCTCAGAACGTAAAACATCCAGCTCAGCTTCCAGCCCTCTCCTGGCCTCCCTCTCTTCCTCCAACTCCCTCTGTACTCCAACCAGCTTCCTATCTGCTTCCTCTCGCCTCTCTCTCTCCTCCTCTACCTCCCTCTCCAAAGCCACCTTCTCGCCTTCTAGCTCACGCACCCTCTCCTCTCTCACATCTCTCTCTGTCTCCAAGCCTCGCATTCTCTCCTCTGCAGCTTCCTTCTCTGCCTGTATCCCCACCAACCGGCCTTCAGCTGCTTCCAGCTGTGACTGCACCTCCTTCAACTGCCCCTCTACCGCTCTCAACCGCTCCTCTTTCTCCACTACCTGTTTCCGTGTCTCTTCAACTTCTTTCTCTGCTTCCACTTCCACCGCCCTCCCTTCCTCCTCCTTCCTCCTCTCCTCCTCTTCTCTCCTCCCCTCCTCCTCCTCCCGCCTCCTCCTCTCCTCCTCCACCTCCACCTGTAACTCCCTCACTCTCCCCTCCAGCCCCACCATCACCCTCTCTCTCTCCTCCCTCTCCCCTCTCGCCTCCTCAACCTCCCTCCTTACTTCTTCCAAGTCCCTCCCCTTTTCCTCTGCCACTTCCCTCCACTCCCTCACTTCCGCCCTCACTCTCTCCAGCTCCAACCCCAATACCCTCCCCTCCTCTCTCAACCTACCCATCTCCTCCTCCAACTCCCTCACTCTCCTCTCCCCCTCCTCCCTCCCCCCCTCCACCTCCCCTTTCTCCCTCTCAAGCTCTTCCACCCTCCGCCTCGCTACAGCCAGATCCGTTTCTACTATAGCCAGCATCTCTTCCACCTCCGCTATTTTTGCAGACTTAAAGCCCTCCATCTCTTCCCTCTCCTCCTTCACCTTCTGCAGTTTCTCCTCCGCCTCCTCCCTCTCCCTTCCCAACTCATCCTCCAACCTATCCACTTCGCCCATCAACCTCGCAACCTCCTCCTGAGCACTGCTAAGAGACTTTCTTAGCTGAGTAAGCTCGTTACTTAGCTCCTCGCACTCCTTCTCCCTGCCCGCCAGAGCATCCGTCACCCTTTCCATCATCGCCACAGTTTCCCTCAGCCTCTCCTCTGCCTTCCTCCTCGCCTCCTCCTCTCTTTTCCTCCCCTCCTCCTCGTCGCTCCGCGCCTCGCCCTCCTTGCTCCTCGCCTCTTCTGCCTCAGCCAACAACCTTCTCAGCTCTTCTATCTGCTCTCCCGCTGCCACACCCGCCCCTGCTGCTACCACTGCCACTGCCCCTGCCCCTGCCTTTACCCCTGCCTCCGCCCCCGCACCCCCAACTGTCCCTGCCCCTGCACCTGCGCGTGCTCCTGCCCCTGCGTTCCCCTTGAGGGTGTCTATCTCCGCCCTGGCAGCAGCGAGATCGGCGTCCAGCTTCAGCTTCTGCTGCTCAATCGCCTTGCCCTTGCGCACCGCCTTGCTCAGCTTCTCCCTCACCGCGCCCACCTGCTCCTGCGCCTGCCTCAAGGATTCTCTCAGCTGCTCTGCATCCGCTGCCACTGCTGCTCCTGATGCCGCCCCTGCTGCTCCTGATACCGCACCTGCTGCTGCTTCTGATAGCCCCCTTGCTGCTACTTCAACCTCTGCTGCTGCTTCACTCCCCGCCTTCACCTGAGAAAGCTGCGCTTCCAGGAGGGACACCTTCGCATGAAGCCTCTCTATCTCAGCCGCGTCCTCACCACCCGGCGCCTTCACCTCTGCCCCTCCTTCTCCCCCTCCTCCTCCCCCTCCTCCCTCCATAAGCCCTTTCAGTCGCTCGACCTCAGCTCTCGCGTCTGCAGCCGCCTGGGCTTCAGACGCCGCCTTCTGCTTCATGCCCTCTATCCTCTCCTTCGCCTTTTTCACTAAGTTCGCGTTCTTCACCTCAGCTGCTGCCCTGGCTGCCTCTGCTGCCGTCTTTTCTGCTGTTGCAGCCGCCCTCGCAGCTTCAGCAGACTTCAGCAAGGCTTCCTTCTGCTCTACCTCCTTTATAAGCCTTTCTATCTGCTCCTCCAGTCGATCCCTCTCTGCACCAGCCCCTGCGCTTTCACTCTCCTTGCTGCCCTCGCCCATTCCAGCTTGACGTCCCCTTAAAGCCTTTCCTTTCAGCGCACTTATCTCTTCCTCAAGTCCCTTCACCTCTTCCCTCAATCTACTCGCCTCCTCCCTCATCCTCTCACCCTCCTCTCTCACCTTCTCACTCTCCTCTCTCAACCTCTCACTCTCCTCTCTCACCTTCTCACTCTCCTCACTCTTCTCCATCAGCTCCCCAAGCAGCGAGTCCATCCTCTCGAGCACCGCCCTCCTCTCTTTCTCACTCGCCTCCAGCCGCCTCTCACACTCACTCACCTTCCTCTCTCTCTCCTCCACCTCCTCCCTATACCCCTCCAAGGCAGCCCTAAGCTTCTCCACCTCCTCCTCTGCCCCCACCAATCTCTCCCTCACTCCCTCCATCTCTCCCGCCATCTCATCCCTAACCCTAACCACCTCCCCACGAGCGTTGGCAAGTTCCTCCCGAACCTCCTCCAGCTCAGCCCGAGCCTGCGCCAGCTCCGCCCGAACCTCCTCCGTCTCCTGAACCGCCTCCTCAGCCTCGGCCACCCGAGCCTGCAGCTTCTCCAGCTGCGACTCCCGCATTCCCAGAACCTTCCTCAGAGCCGCTGCTTCCGCCTCAGCTTCCTCCTTCACCTGGTCCCTCTCTCGCTCCGCCATCTCCCTTGCTGCAGCGGCCTCCACTGCTATAGCATCCTCTGATGCTTGCGCCTCTGCGTCTTGCGACGCCCGCCAGATCATCTCTCGTGCCGAGATGTCGGTTTTTAGGGTTTCGAGCTCGGTCTCGCGCTGCTCTAGGGTTTCTTCGAGTTCCTCTGCTTGCTGCTGGAGAGAGGTCAGCTCGGCTTGCTTAGCCTCGAGGGCGGCTTGAGCTGACTGAAGCTGCTTGGTTGCTTCTTCCGTGGCTGACTCGCTGGCAACTACCTTGGCCTGGAGGAAGGGGAGACGAACGTGCGGGAACAGCCCAGAAGGTAAGGGAGCAAGGGGGGGGGGAAACAGTCGGGGGTTGAGGAGGAATTAAGGTGGGCCTTGCAAGGAGCAGAAGGAGGATGGGTGATGAAGGACGGAGGGTTCCATAATGGATGGGCGGCACAGGAAAGCAGGTGAGCAGCCAGCCAGCATAAGAGAGACCAAAAGCTTCCAGCATGCGGAGGACTCACCAGAGTGACCACTTCCTTCCGCTCTGCTGCCTGCAGCCTCTGCTGCAGCTGCCCCACTTCCCCCTCCAACTCTTCCACCTTCCTCGTAAGCTCTTCTCTCTCCTCCTCCCCTTCCACCACCTTCCTCTGCAGTTTTTCCTTCTCCTCCTCCAACCCTCCCACCTGACTCTGCAGCTGCTCCTTCTCCTCCACCAAGCCGGCCACCTTGCTCTGAAGCCTTTCCTTCTCCTTCTCGACCTCCTCCACCTGACTCTGCAGCTGCTCCTTCTCCTCTCTCAGGCCCACCGCCTTCCCTCTCTCCTCCTCCCTCCCCTCCACCGCACTCTGCAGCTCACACAGCATCTCCCCACACCTCCTCTCCTCCTCCTCCGCACTGCCACTCGCCTCCTGCACCATCCTCCTCTCCGTCTCCACCTGTTGCTGCAGCTGCCCCACTTCATCTTCCAGGCCTCCCACCCTCCCTCGAAGCTCCCCCCTTTCCTCCTCCAACCCGCCCACCTGCTGTTGCAGTTGCCCCACTTCATCTTCCAAGCCTCCCACCCTCTTCCGAAGCTCCTCCCTCTCCTCTCGCAATGCCACCACTTTCCTCCTCTCCGCCTCCACCTGCTGCTGAAGCTGCCCCTCGCTTTCCTCAAGCCTCCCCTGCTCCTCCTCCCACTTCTCCCGCTCCCCCTGCAACCTCCCCAGCAACTCCTCCTTTTCAGTCGCCCACTCAGTTTCCTTCCTCTCCCATTCGCCCCTCTCCATTGCCCACCCGTCCCTCTCCCTCTCCCACTCACTCTTCAGCTCCAGGAACTCTCGCCCCTTAGCCACCAGAAGCCCCTCGATCTCAGCCTGCCGCTGCAGCAGCAGCCCCTCTTCCGCCTTCCACTCCGCCCTCCACGCTTCTACCTCACTCCCACCACTCCTCCCCTCATTCACCTCACTCTCTCTCCTCCTCGCCTCTTCCATCTTCTGCAATAGCTCACTCGATTTGGCCTCTTCCTCCTTCACCCTCCTCTCAGCCTCCATAACCCTTTCCTCAGCGTCCTTAGCTCGTCCCTCAGCCTCTCTCAGATCCGTTTGAAGCCCCTCCACTTGCTCCTCCCAGCCCTTCACCTGCGAATCCATCTCAGCTACCTTCCCCTCCAAATTCTTCACTCTGACTTCCATCTCCCTCTTCTCCTCCTCCACCTCTCTCTTCTTCTCCTCCACACCTCTCTTCTCTTCTTCAGCTCTCCTCCTGGCCTCTTCTGCCTGTTTACTCGTCGCTCTCTCTTCCTCCACTGCTTCCACTAGCACCTCTTTCTGTGCTTGAAGGGACTCCAGCGCTCGAGACAACGCACTCTCGCGCTCCCTTGCCTCTGCTTCTGCAGCAGCAACAGCAGCAGAGACAGCAGACTGAACCGCCTGCTCAATCGCCTCCTTCTGCTGCTCCTCCTTCTCACCTGAGCTTTCCCCTGCCTTCCGCACCTCCTGAATCTCCGTCCTTAGCGTCTCAAGCATCTCCTCTAGCTGCCTCACTCGCTCCCTCTCCCCACTCAGGCTCACCTCCAACCCCGAAACCACGCCCTCCTTCTCAGCAACCTCCCCTCTTGCTGCTGCAACTTCGGCTTGCAGGGCGGCCAGCTGCCCCTCCGTCTCTGCAACGCTCTCCTGCAACCGCTCCACCTCTTTTGAAGCACTCTCTACCTCCTTTGCAGCATCCTCCGCCTTGCTCCTCTCCTCTTGAACCCTACCCTCCCACACCTGTTCCTCCCTCTCCACTTCCCTCCTCCCCGCCTCCCTCACTTCCTCCACCCTAATCTCCATCTCCCTCGCCCGTCCCTCGGCCTCTCTCATCTCCTCCCCTCTCCTAGCCAGCAGCGCATCCCTCTCGGCCACCTGCCCTAGCAACTCCACAGCGCGCTCCCTCCCATCCGCCACCTGTCTCTTCAGCTCTGCAACTTCCTCCCCAGCTGCCCTTACCTCCTCCTCAGCAGCCCTTACCCTTTCTTCAGCCTCCCTCGCCCTCTCCTCCATCTCCCTGACCTTCTCCCCCCCTTCCTCCGCCTTTGCTGCCGCGCTCACCTCTGCTGCAGCAACGGCCGCTTCCAATTCCGCCATCCTCCTCCTCCCCTCCTCCAACTCCGCCTCCAGCTCCCCCACCCTCCTCCTCCCCTCTCTCACCTCCCCTTCCTTCGCCTCCACACTCGCTAACGCCTCCCTCCTCCCCTTTCTCTCACCCTCCAGCTCCAGCCTTAGCTTTTCCAGCACAGCCGTTTCCTCAGCCAGGGACCCCTTGAGCGCCTCTCTCTGCTGCACCACCTCCTTTCCCTTCCTAATCGCCACGCCCAGCTTCTCCTTCGTAGCAGCCAGCCTCTCAGTCGCATTCCCCGCCTCGAGCCTAGCAGCATCCGCCTCCGCCCTCAGCCTCTCCCGCTCCCTCTCCCCCTCTTCCATCCGCTCTAGTAAAACCCTAGATTCCTCTTCCTTAGCTGCGAGGGCGGCTGCTGAGTCCCGCAGCTGCTGCCGCCACTGCTGCTCGTCGCCCTGCAGCTTGGCCCTGAGCCTCTCCTCCTCGTCTCTAGACCGGGCCAGCAGCTCCTGCAGCTGCACCAACTCCTCCTCCAGCAGCTCCCTCTGCTCCCCGCTTAGGTTCACCTGGTGAGATAAAGCAGGGGAAAGATAAGTGATGAGTAGAGAGTACTAAGTCGACCATAGAGCTCCCTGCTGTCACCCGCCAGGAACACCTGTTGAGAACGCACCGCAGGGCAAGGGGAAACAGGGGCAGAGTAGGAAAGGATGGACGGCAAAGCGTGACCAAGATGGGAATTACAATGATACGACTCATCAAAACGCGGCATTTAATCAACCTGCCCTGAATCTCGCCTCTCACACACCCACCCTTACAGTGAATGCCCCTCTATCAAAACTCACCCCTCTCTCAACGCCCCCAGAACCCTCAACCCCGCCACCGAATTCCCGGGCCGTATGAGCACTATCACTCTTCCGCCTCTCCACCTCCTGTCTCTGCCTCTCGCACTCCTCCCTTAGTCTCTGCAGCTCGCCTTCCAGCCCCGCCCTCTCCTCCCTGAGTCTCTGAGACTCCTCCCTTAATCTCTGTGTCTCCTTCACCTGCCGGCCCCTCTCCTCCTGCAGCGCCGCCACCGTCTCCATCATCGTCTCATACTGCCCCCGAACCACCGCCATCTCCTCGCCCAGCCTCGCATTGCGCTCCCTCTCCCCTTCTATAACCACCTCCTTTTCAAGCAGCTGGTCAGCCAGCCGCCCCTTCTCCTCCTCCAACCCCTTCCATCTTCCCATAGCCGAGGCAACCTGCCGTTTTAGTTGTTCCGCAGCAGCTTCCATTTCGGCCTTCATTCTGGCCAGGCGTTCCGTCTCTGCCTTTTTCTCCGCCTGAACCTGCGCTGTCACTCGCTCCATCACCTCCTCCCTGTCCCTCTCCAGGAACACCAGCCGCTCCTCCTTCTCCTTAAGTATCTCTCTTAGCTCAGCAACCTCCGCTGAATGCCGCTCCATCAAGTCAACGAATCTGGCGTCAACGCTCCTGGACTTCCTCCCCGTATCACCACCCACACCATTGCCAGCACCGTACGCTGCAGCCTTAGATACAGCCTCCCCGGGATCCAGCCCAACGAGGCTCTTGAGCGTGGCTAGCTCCCTTTCCAGGGCATGCACTCTGCTGGACTTCTTTCTAAGCTCCTCCCTTAATAGCACCTCCCCTCCACTCCCACTCCTCCACATCCCACTCAACCCAGCACCACCACCACCGCTACCACCACCGCTACCACCACCGCCACCTAAACCAGCACCACCAGAACCAGCAGCACCGCCACCACCAGCATAACCAGCTCCCCCTCTTTCCCTCCCCTCCATAACCACCGATAACCTCCTCTTCAGCTCCACTACTTTCAGCTCGAGCCTCTCCACATACTTCTCCCTTGACATGGTTACCACTGACCCCCGCTCTGACAGCGACCCATCGTCACTGTTCGTCTCGAGGGAGAACCGCCTCACGCCAGCAGCAAAGGAGCCGTCTAGGGCGCCGTTGGACGACCAGGGGACGGCGGAGGTGAGGGAGGAGAGGGAGGAGGTGGAAGGGCTTCGGGAGAGGGGGGCGGTTGTGGGGCGAGTTGCGTGACTGGGAGAGGCTGCTTCCTGCTCCCTCTCGTGCGGCTCATGGGGATGTGCAGTAGACGGTCTCCGCATCCCGTCTGCGCCCTCCCCTCGGACTCCCTCCCCATGCGCTGCCGCCCCTTGAGCTCCCGAGCCCTGCCATGCGAGTTGGAGTGGAGCAGTGGCAGGGTGGCAGGGGCGGGTGCTCAGGCCTTTTAGAAGCAGCTGGCTGGCTGGACCTTCCGTCTTCCAACGCGCGACCCCTTCCCCCTTCATCCTCTACTTCCCCTTCACCTTTTCTTCCCCTTCATCCTTCTCTTCCCCTTCATCCCCTTTCCTCCCCTTTCCTCCGCTTTCTCCCCCTTCTCTCCCTTCATCCCTCTACGTGCTACTATCTGACTCGGTACCTTACCCTGTATCGTATAACCACGACCTACATTCTCGATACACCACTTCGTTAAATAACCAGTAATAATAATTAAAGAAAAAAAACTCACCTTTTCAGAATGTCTCGCCTTTTTGAGAATGCGTCACCTAATTCAGTGTGCCTCACCTTATTGAGAATCCCCTGGGCGATGGTGCGGAACTCCCGAGGGCCAGCAGTGAACGGCCGCAGGAAGCCTCCAGAGGACGAGTCGGAGCTGGTGGCACTGGACGGCGTGCCGCCAGTGGGCGTCATGAAATCCCCATCCCCGCCAGCACTGCTGCTGCTGATCGTCCTCCCCACAGCCGTTGATCCTGACTCTGCTGACGCCGTGGACTCTCTTGGCTGGCTCTGGAACGATTCTCGGGCTTGGATCTGCACGCTCAGGCCCAGCTGGGGGAGGTCGCTACTGCTGCCCGACGCCTGGCCTTGGGATTGCCTCCGGGCTGCTGCTGGGCCAGAGGATGCGCTCTGATTGGAGGAGCCCTGTGGAGTCGTGGGGGCCGTTGATGGCATCTTGGCCTGCGAGATGGACGGGTGTAGGGATAAGTGGGGGGAGGGGAGATGGGGGGAGGGAGAGGGCAAGGATTATGCGATTTGAGTCAGCTCATATCAAGGAGGGAGACTACACGGACTGAGGAGCTGGCATGTTCGAAGGCATTCGGAATTGGCGTGGAATCAAGGCAATACAAGTCGTCATAGCAGAGGTTGAGGAATTCCAAATGACTGACAAATTATGGCAGGCCAATAGGTTGAACCATTCGTATTTTGAGTCGACTCAAAATGCAGAGGTTGAGGAATTCCAAATGACTGACAAATTATGGCAGGCCAATAGGTTGAACCATTCGTATTTTGAGTCGACTCAAAATGCAGAGGTTGAGGAATTCCAAATGACTGACAAATTATGGCAGGCCAATAGGTTGAACCATTCGTCAGGATCCGGAGAAGAGAACCTGCCAGCTGATGAGACTTCGATCCGGTCTTACTGTCACTCCAGAGAGAAGGATGGAGATTAGAGAGAAACGGAGAATACTAAGGTAAGGAGGCTAGAGAGGACAGAGGAATATTCCTGAGTCATCATGAGTACCTTATCTTGCTGTCCTCCTTTAGAGCTTCCTCCCGATTTCGCTTGTTGCTTCTTTCGATACTCTTCCAGCTGTTCGGGCAGAAGAAACGGGGAGCACGGCTCGATGTAAATTTAAGAGCAGGAATTCCACATCAGGAAGTATCGGAAGCATTTAGACGTGGCGAAATGAAACGGATAAGAAAAATGATCTCATTCCGAGAGTCATTCTCCTTACCCGCTTCTTCCCAGCCGTCATGAGCTCCCTCCGATCCATCCTTAGCCGACAACCATATCACCCAATCACACCGTAACGATCGGTGAATTCGCTTCGCGAGAGCACCAGCGTGCACTATTCAGTCAGAATCTCAACGAATCCATGTGTCATAGTCGCCTCTGATATCCCCTATTGCAGCTTCGCGTGGCACCAGTGGCATCTAGACTGGTACTAACAATGGTTCCTGCAGCCTAGGTGTTGGCTAGGCTACTGCTTCTAGAGATTGGTTTTTGCCCAATACAATCTCGATGGAGCATTGGTGTTCACGGCGAAAGGGAAAATTTCGTCTGGTTACGTCGGATGAGGCATCCAGAGTAAATCTGGGCTGGAAGAAAACATTCGTGCGCTCGCGAAACCGTGTGCGAGTTCCACCGGCGAAAAGCGAATGTTGCGCGAAATACCTGGCGAGTACTGCGGCGAGGGCCAAGTTTCGCGCCTTCAGTTGTCAGATCCGCCTCACCGAATCAAGGCATTCCCAAGGTATCAGCTGGTATCCATACGCGATAAAATTCCCTTACTGTGGTGTACTGGTTCTGTGGTGTACTGGACCTGTGGTGTACTGGTTCTGTGGTTTCAAACCAAATTTCACAGGTCCAACTCTTTCCTCGATCAATGCCAGCTTCACCCGAGCAGGTGAACCTTGGCTCCAGTCTGGCAAACTGGACCCGCGTCACGCTGCACAGGCGCGGTAATGGCGGACGCTGCAGAACCTCCTGAAGAGGCATTTTGTACTTCCGCAGCGTTTCAACAGGCCGCGAAACTTCCGCGAACCATTCTTCTGGACATATTTCAACGCCTACCCGCTGAAGGGGCAGGCGGGATTATTTGCGCCATGCTCACTTGCAGGTGCGCTCGCCCCCTGCGCGTTTTCCCCCGCATGCTCCCCGTGGGCGCTATTCTCGCCCCATTAATTTCCGCCTTTGTCTGAGCGTCCCCACTTGTCCGCGCTCCTTCCGCTACAGGCTCCCTTGCGCCTTTTCCCACCTTTCCGCGGTTTCCCCGTGCGCCTTTTCCCCATCTTCCCCACATTCCCTCGGTTCCCCTTCCGCCCTGTTCCCCGTATTTCCCACCTCCGCGGTTCCCCCGTCCGCAGGGACTGGCGCGATGCGGTGGTCGCGGAGGAGCGGGATGCGGGGGGCGCAGGGGGGGAGGCGTTCTGGCGGAGAGTGTTTGAGCGGAGGTTTGGGGGAAGGGCCGCGCACTGGAGCAGGGGGGAGCAGCCGCGCGCGGAGGGAGAGGGGGAGGGGGAGGGGGAGGGGGAGGGAGAGGGGGAGGGAGAGGGGGCGGAGGGAGTGAGTGTGGTGTGTGGAAGAGGAGGTATAGAGAGAGAGTGGAGGTGGGGAGGAACTGGAGAGAGGGGAAGTGCGGTGCGTGGGGGATACACGGGGGGAGAGGAGAGGTGTGGGGAGAAGGGGGGGAGAGAGGAAATACGGCGGAGGAGGAGTGGAGCGAGTTAGAAGCACCAAACGTGACGCAAGAAACACAGTCAGCAGCAACAGCAGCAGCTGCAACTCCATCATCATCAGTACTATTACCACCACCATCATCACCAGTAGCCATTACTGTGATCAAGGTAGACAACACCCTCCTCCTCCTCGGTACCTCCCACGGCCAACTGCAGGTTTGGCACCTCCCCTCTCACTCCCTCCTCACCTCCCTCTTTCACCCTCACCCCCTCCCCATCACCTCCCTCACTCTCTCTGAAAGCCTCGGGGACCCCCCACGGGTGCCCCAACCGCTCTCCCACGCTGCAACTGGGTGTGCTTGTAACGAGGATGGCTGCTGTGCTAGTCACGGGGAAAGCTGCTGTGCTTGTAACGAGGATGGGTGGAGGCTAGTGGCGAGTGCAGCAGCGGATGGGTCTGTGCGCGTCTGGAGCCTCCCGAGGTGGCCCACTGCCAACAGGCCGCCGTCAAAAGTGTTACAATCAGAGCCACAAGTGACACAAGCAGGGGCGAATGAGGCACCGGTACCAGCAGGGGCAACCGAGGCACCACCGGTACCAGCAGGGGCAACCGAGGCACCACCGGTACCAGCAGGGGCAACCGAGGCACCACCGGTACCAGCAGGGGCAACGGAGGCACCACCGGTACCAGCAGGGGCAACGGAGGCACCAACGGTACCAGCAGGGGCAACGGAGGCACCACCGGTACCAGCAGGGGCAACGGAGGCACCACCGGTACCAGCAGGGGCAACGGAGGCACCAACGGTACCAGCAGGGGCAACGGAGGCACCACCGGTACCAGCAGGGGCAACGGAGGCACCACCGGTACCAGCAGGGGCAACGGAGGCACCACCGGTACCAGCAGGGGCATCGGAGGCACCACCGGTACCAGCAGGGGCATCGGAGCGGCAGGGGTTCGGAGGGACATGCATCGCTGTCATGCCTCGTAGATCCGGGTCCTCCTCCCTGTGGTTCTTGGAAGGAGAGATGGGGGAGAGACAATTGTGGGAGGACCTAGAGCGAGCGAGAGGAGGGGGAATGGGGAGGGGAGATGGGGGAGAGACGACTGTGGGAGGACCTAGAGAGAGTGAGAGGAGGGGGAGGGGGCAGGGGGAGGTAGGGAGAGGGGAGGGGAATGGGAGGGCGAGGAGGGAGAGGGGGAGCAGGTGGGGTGGAGGCCGAGGAGGTGCAAGAGAGTGCCGAAGGAGAGGTGGGAGGGTGGAGGAATGAGGGCGAGAGAGTCAGTCACTCGGCCATGCCGTTACCAGGGAGAAAAGGTGGCAGCCACTCAGGTGTGCCCTCGTGCTTGCAAGGGAGACATGGTGTGCCCTCGCCCTCGGTATCTGCTGGGAGAGGGGAGGAGGGGTGGCGTTGACTCGTACAGCATACACGTGTGGGACTTGGGCTCTGCTGGATGCTCGTCTGCACCTGGTCAGCAGCGGTCAACGCAGGGTCAACAGAGGTCAACGCACAGTCATCAGGAGTCAACGCACTGCCAACATGAGTCAATGCACAGTCAACAAGAGTCAATGCACAGTCAACAGGAGTCAGCGCACAGTCAACAGCAGTCAACGCACGGTCAACAGCAGTCAACCCCCAATCAACAGCAGTCAACGCATGGTCAACAGCAGTCAACGCACGCATCACAGCCATCATCGCACGTCCCAGCACAGGCCAAGTTGCAGCGTGTGTACCACCGGACCCTAGCCTTTGACTCCTGGACCGGCGTGGTTGCGGTAGCGGTGTCTGACACCGACGCTTACACTCCCAATCACTCTCACATTCGATTGCAGCACGTTCTTTCCAGTCACACCCTGCTGGACATCCACCCCTGCTGCGAAGCCTCTGATACAGTCACAGACGTGGCGTTCAGCCACTCAGAGCGGCACACGTGGCGGCTTCTGATCGGCTCGATGCTCGGGGTGATCCGTGTGTATGACTTGGAGAGAGGAGGAGGGAGAGGGAGTGGCGGAGGATCTGGAGAGAACCGAGGAGAAAGTAGGGTAGGAGGGGGCTGAACAGAGGGGGGAGTGGGGGAGGAGGAGGGGGAGAGAACCAAGGGGGGAGTGGCATCCGGCCATCTATCATGTTCTCCATCAAGCTGTGGGAGCAGATGATGCAGTTCTCACTCAACGAGCGCATCTTCTGCCTCACTGTACGCGTCTACTGCTCATGTCCACTGTTCATGTCTACTGTTCATGTCCATGCATGTTCTCTTTTTCCAAGGTGCACTGTCAACCTCACTTTCCAAGTAGCGCTGAAGTTTCGAGACGTCGCAATAATGTCTGCCTCACTCTTACTAGCGCTACTGTCAAGTGAAAGGGACTTCATATTAGGGCTGTTTAGGCCATGCTGAAGCCTATGAGGCTCCACCACACTGCACCGAAACGATCCCTCCCCCATCCTTCCCCACAGACCGCCATAAACAACACTCAAGAAGGTATCCCTGGGTCCGCCTTCGCTCGGGTGTGGGATGTGGATGCTGCTGCTGTGGCCGCCCACCTCTGCCAGGTGGGTTTGCCCTGGTCAGCCAGTCCACGTGCACTCTGAGTCGACTCAAAGCCCACCTCTGCCAGGTGGTTTTGTCGTGGTCAGCCAGTCCACGTGCACTCCTCCCACCAACTCGCACAAGGCACCCCAGGCTCTGGCTTCGCGCGGAGGTGCCTGGCAGGTGCTGGCAGGTGCTGGACGGCGCTGGCAGGTGCTGGCAGGTGCTGCCATGTGCTGGCAGGTGCTGCCATGTGCTGGCAGATGCTGCCATGTGTTGTAAATATATATCTATACAACATGCATGCCTAGATTAGGAGGTGTAGTCATTATAAATATTGGGGGTTGTTGGTTGGGTTGACCAACCCCACATTTGGGTTGGTCAAGATTGGATTTGGTCCTAGACATTTGGTTGGCACTATTCCAACCAAATGGTCCTTGGTCCTAGGAACCAACCAATCACCAAGCACCACACTTTGTGGTTGCTTGCCTTCCAAGCAATCTCTCTCATTGGTCCACATTGTGGCCAATCAGAGAGCACCACACTTTGTGGTTGCTTGCCCTACAAGCAACCTCTCCCATTGGTCCACTTTATGGCCAATAGGAGAGCTTCCCTTCCAACTCTTCCTTGCTCCTTGTTTTGTACAAAAGAGCCTCTTGGCTCCCTACTCAATCAATCTTTTCTCTTCCAAGCTATTTCCTTCACCATGTGCTGGCAGGTGCTGCCATGTGCTGGCAGGTGCTTCCATGTGCTGGCAGGTGCTGGCAGGTGCCGGTGCTGGCAGGTGCGGGAAGGTGTTGGCGGGTTCAGTTCCTGGTCCAGTGCCCGGTCCAGTGTTGGTCCACAGGCCCATCCACTGCCCGGCCCAGTGCCCTGTCCACTGCCCGGTCCACTGCCTGGCCCAGTGCCCTGTCCACTGCCCGGTCCACTGCTCGGCCCAGTGCCCTGTCCACTGCCCTGTCCACTGCCCGGTCCACTGCCCGGTCCACTGCCCGGCCCAGTGCCCTGTCCACTGCCCGGTCCACTGCCCCTCGCTTGCTGTCCCTCCAGTTGCGTCCTCCTTTCAGCAAGTTTTTCAGTTTTCTAAAAAATTTGTATCATCCTCAAGATGCCTCGCTTGACCTCCCAGCAGCCATGCACCTCCCCCACTGCTGCCACCGTTGTGCTCTTACTTGCTCCTTCCCCTCCTTGCGTGTTGAAACCCGATGATCCTTCTATCAATACCTTCAAGCCGATGGGGCCATGGCTCTGTGGACCGCCACTCATATCCCTTTCATGCCTACGCTGTTGCTGGCTTGTGACTGTGCGCCCTCACACTCCAGGCGCGGCCCCCTTTCACGGAGGTGCTTCACTTGGACTCCCAGCAGCCCTGCATCTCCCCCACCACTGCCACTGCTGTACTGCTACGAGCCGATGGGGCCATCGCTCTGTGGACCACCACTCAGTGCAGCACTGACACTCAATGCAGCAATGATAATGAAACCGTTACATCTCACTGCATTACATCTGACAGCTCTGATGCAGCACTTGCTCCTCATCCTTCCCAGCAGTGCCAGGATGGCTTAGTCTATCTGCCCGGCCCTCCTCTGTGGCAACCCCAATCAAATCTCCCTTCTTGTGCTGCTGCCTCGTCTGCTGCCGCTGCTACTGTTGCTGCTGATGGTGATGGTGGTGGTGGTGATGGTAGTGATGGGAACGGTGGGGGTGACATTGGTGATGGTGACAATGGGGATCAGGACAATAGTGAGTGGGTTATTGCGGACAGCAACTGGAGATGGCTGGTTGTGGCACGAGGAAATAAAGCACATGTGCACGACTTCATTCTGCGCTAAATGTTTCGTTGTAGTGTACCACGAACAATAATATCGGTTATGATCATGCGGCTCCGTGGGTTTTTCTCCATCACTATACTGGTATCTGAGTTAAAGTAACAGCCATGAACCTGTGAAAGGAGCGGGGAAAACCAACCTGTGGGGGGTAACAAGGGAGTCCTAGCGTACGTGAACTGCTGCTGCATGCTGAGATGTCTCAGCAGACAGAAGGAGAGAGGGCAACAGGACAATATCCTGCTCTGGCCCACGTTTTGGGCTGCTGAGGAGATATAAAGAGATACGGTAGCTGGCTAAAGGCACACACCAAAAAGGCGTAGCTGGGTGTCTACAAATATACATAAGCTCCAGCCAGCCAGCGCCAGCTCAAGCTAGCCAGCGCCAGCCACCGCCAGCCAGCGCTAGCCAGCGCTCCGCGCCCAGCGCCAGCTGCCCAGCAGCCAGCCGCCAGCCACCAGCACCAGCCGCCAGCGTCAGCCGCCAGCCGCCAGCCGCCAGCCGCCAGCCGCCAGCCGCCAGCCGCCAGCGCCGGCCGCCAACTGCCAACCGTCAACTGCCAGCCACTAACCGCCGACTCTAGCTGCCAGCCGTCCAGCTTCGGCCTCCTGCAGCCGGCCACCAGCCGACGGCACCAGTCGCCAGCCGCCAGTAACCGACCGCCGGCTCCAGCTGCCACCGGCGACTAGCCGCCGACACCCAGCCGTCAGCCGCCAGCTACCACTACTCGTGGCCAGCCGCCGACCACCAGCCGCCAGCTGCAGTCGGCCGCCAGCCGCCAGTCGCCAGTCGGCCGCCAGCCGCCAGTCGCCAGTCGGCCGCCAGCCCCATGCCACGTGGACTGTCAGTTCCCCATGTGCCGCCTCACGCCGCCAGTCTTAGTGTCTCCTCGCTTGCTCCTCGGCGTCCTGCTCCTAGTAGCTCCTCTCGCTCGTACTTCCTTCTCGTTTGATCCCCACTCCTCCTCGCCGCTAGTAGCCTACCGCCAGCTCACTAGCCGCTGTCCACTCGCAGCCAGCTAGCCGCCGCCCGCCGGCTCGCCCCCAGCTAGCCGCCAGCAGCGCCTGCCAGCTCGCCGCCAGCAGCTGCTCGCTAGCACGCCAGCTCGCCAGCTCGCTGCCACCAGTCTGCCACTTGACGCCACTGCCAGACCGCTACTCCGGCCACAACCGCCACTGCTGCTACCTTTGTTAGTGCTCCTGTAGTCCCTAGCGCCTCCCACTAGCCTCCTCCTCATTTTTAGAGTTCCTCGATGCCTCTCCTCTCGCCATGATGGACTCGTTGGGGTCAGTCCCTTGGCCAGACCGCCTGGGACTTCCCTCTCCGGTTTCTTGCTCACCGTCTAGAGCTGGTAAGCCCGCACGTAGTCTGCACGCTCCTGGAGGACCACATTAGTTCCTTCCTTAGCTTCTGGCCCCTTGACCTCGACGTCCGCTTCCGGGCTCTCTGGCCAGCGCCGA